TATACATATCTTAAGTCTACATTAGTCTTAAGCCCAGTACTGATGTTACATGTACATTGGGTCGCTTTTCCACTTTGGAGTCGCTTTTATACTATTATTTGTATTATCATAGTATCTAAATATTGTAGTACCCCATCTATGGCAGCTGGTAGAACTTATATATTATAGCAGCAGGAATTATCTTAATTACAGTGCCATTATGAAGTTCCCGTAGGGGGTTATTACATATATAAATCACTAATTATTTAAATCCAAAGTATTCTGTTTCCCACCCCGTTTCCGTAGGATTCTACAAGCAAAAGAGCATGAGTCAGGATAAGGAAAAATATGTAATTTTCTGAATAAAATTGATATTTTATACTTATCCTGACTCATGAGGTAAGCCCTCCCATCCTCCCCACATAACACTTTGGATTTCCCTGTAAATTCAAGTGTTGGGCTCGTTAAACAGGAGAGAGTGAAGCATGTTGGAAGAGGTGGCGCCTCCTTTCCCCCCACATTCGGAAAGGGAAGCAACTCTTGGTGAGTACTAATTAGTGATTTTACATTGAAGGGAGCTTCAATTAGGGAAATACAAGTGTTCCACTATGTTCGCAAGAAGAAGAAGACAAGCAAAAGAGCATGAGTCAGGATAAGTATAAAATATCAATTTTATTCAGAAAATTACATTATTATTGAAATATTTCAGAATTTAATTGTTTGATCGGCATTCAAGAAGTTGGCAAGTTCAAAATGAAGCATACAACTTTATGGATGACAACTTCTTGTTTATTGCATAGAGTGATATTTTCGGTGTAGATTCTTACGCTGTTATGAAGCTAAAAGCTGTATGTTTCATTTCATAATTTGCTAAACACAATGAAAACATATGCAGTACATATGGGAGCATGAAGACATGTCCCTGTAGTCCTGAAGTTCAGTGTTAAGACTGTTCTCTGTACTTTAAATATGAAGAGAGCCTGACAATTACACACACTATTCCTTGCAGTCTTCAGATATTGGCGAGAAACTCTTGTATACTCAATGTCCATGATGTTAAAGATTTTTTAAGTCTTGGTATCAGTTATCTGGATAGGTATCTGATTAGATGGTATGGTGACTTTCATATAAGTTGTGGGTAACTTTAGGTAACATATTTGTGATAATAATATTAATACCTCAGTCAACACTTGTTATTGTCAAATGTCAGATCAGGATCTTATTGCAAAACCAGTTGTATCAAATTCTGTTGGCATTTATGCTTTATTGTTCTGAGATGTTTGACATTTGAAATGTTATAGCACTAAGTAGGCTGATTAAAGGTGAAAGACACTGATTATGTAATGCCCTAAGCTTATTACTGCAGGAATGTGAGATTCAAACAGATTGATATGTGTAAGGCGAAAAAAAGTTTTTTGTTTTTCTGATTCACCAGCTGAAAAAAACAAGGAAATTTAAAATTACTTTTCTGATATTTATTAATACTTTCAACTCCACTGGTAAAACAGTATGTAAATAAATAAGTTGGCATGAAATTTCACTCAAATTAGGTGTTATTTGTGCACACTAGACTAAGGCATAACACCATGTCAACAAATCAATGAAGTGTTCATTGTTCATTGACACCTGTGTAATCAAGTTTTTCAAATTTCATTCAGTGTTGTTTATTTACATTAATTTTAGCCACATCATGTACGAGCTCATCAGTAGATCATACCTACTTACCACTTGTTACAGAAACAGCATATAGAATAATACATACAAAACAGTGCCTGGCTGAATGAGAAATGCTGTTTAGCTTGTAAATCATGACATCTAGCGATGTTTTATCACAAATCTCTGGGTGTTGGGGCCATCTTTTGTTATCTGTTCCTTCAACTGACATAATACACGTTGGTTTTTTACTGCATATAAACAAGATCTTCTCTTCAAAATTCTGAATCTTCTTAGAACTGTAACTGTAGGTTTCACTGCAAATATTTTTCAAATGTAAGATTTTGACCAGCACCAAATATGACTGATGATTAGTACACTGACATTGTAAGAACAAACCGATATTTTGTAAACCAACAAAAAACAATCACTGTATGCATGGCGAACAGTTTGCTGTAAACAGTAAATGAGAATAGACTTTTTCACCACTTGGTCGTCTCCTGTAGGGGTCAGCACAGCTATAAGGTCAACACCTGGACAGGGCCCTGGATGTGGTCCGAATTCATTTTCATATTCACCATTGAGAAGAGATGTTTTGGTGTAATATTTCAAAGACAAATTATGTTTCAGACCTGAAAATTATTAGCCTGGGAGAGTAGGAATGAGGCCATGGGATTGTGTGGGCCTTAATGAGCTTGAGAGAGGGAACTGCTTGTGTGACTAATCCAACTCATTACCACTGTCTTTGTGTGTCCTACCATTCAGATTTCACTGCTTCACTTAAAGTCTGTCCACAAACAAAGCTACATGAAACATTAAGGGATGACAATAGAAGCAGTTAATAGTCTCTGATTATGATGTATGACTAATTACAGACACTGAGAAGGCACACTTTGAGTGAATTGGGTCCTCGTATCGGCCAGATGTGGGGACTGTGCGAGTGAAGGGAGTTCTTGTACAGTGTGGTGACTGTGAGTGAAGGGAATCCTTGTACAGTGAGGTGACTGAGTGAAGGGAATCCTTGTACAGTGTGGGGACTGAGTGAAGGGAATCCTTGTACAGTGTGGGGACTGAGTGAAGGGAATCCTTGTACAGTGTGGGGACTGTGAGTGAAGGGAATCCTTGTACAGTGTGAGGACTGAGTGAAGGGAATCCTTGTACAATGTGGGGACTGAGTGAAGGGAATCCTTGTACAGTGTGGGGACTGAGTGAAGGGAATCCTTGTACAGTGTGGGGACTGAGTGAAGGGAATCCTTGTACACGGTGTGGGGACTGAGTGAAGGGAATCCTTGTACAGTGTGGGGACTGTGTGAGTGAAGGGAATCCTTGTACAGTGTGGGGACTGTGTGAGTGAAGGGAATCCTTGTACAGTGTGGGGACTGAGTGAAGGGAATCCTTGTACAGTGTAGGGACTGTGAGTGAAAGGAATCCTTGAACTTGGGGGACTGAGTGGGAATCCTTGTACAGTGTGGGGACTGTGAGTGAAGGGAATCCTTGTACAGTGTAGGGACTGACTGAGTGAAGGGAATCCTTGTACAGTGTGGGGACTGAGTGAAGGAAGGGAATCCTTGTGGGGACTGTGAGTGAAGGGAATCCTTGTATAGTGTGGGGAGTGAAGGGAATCCTTGTACAGTGTGGGGACTGTGAGTGAAGGGAATCCTTGTACAGTGTGGGGACTGTGAGTGAAGGGAATCCTTGTACAGTGTGGGGACTGTGTGAGTGAAGGGAATCCTTGTACAGTGTGGGGACTGTGAGTGAAGGGAATCCTTGTACAGTGTGGGGACTGTGAGTGAAGGGAATCCTTGTACAGTGTGGGGACTGTGAGTGAAGGGAATCCTTGTACAGTGTGGGGACTGTGTGAGTGAAGGGAATCCTTGTACAGTGTGGGGACTGTGAGTGAAGGGAATCCTTGTACAGTGTGAAGGGACTGTGTGAGTGAAGGGAATCCTTGTGGGGACAGTGTGTGGGGACTGTGTGAGTGAAGGGAATCCTTGTACATCCTTGTGTGGGGACTGAGTGAAGGGAATCCTTGTACAGTGTGGGGACTGTGAGTGAAGGGAATCCTTGTACAGTGTGGGGACTGTGTGAGTGAAGGGAATCCTTGTACAGTGTAGGGACTGTGAGTGAAGGGAATCCTTGTATAGTGTAGGGACTGTGAGTGAAGGGAATCCTTGTACAGTGTGGGGACTGTGTGAGTGAAGGGAATCCTTGTACAGTGTGGGGACTGTGTGAGTGAAGGGAATCCTTGTACAGTGTAGGGACTGTGAGTGAAGGGAATCCTTGTACAGTGTGGGGACTGAGTGAAGGGAATCCTTGTACAGTGTGGGGACTGTGAGTGAAGGGAATCCTTGTACAGTGTGGGGACTGTGTGAGAAGGGAATCCTTGTACAGTGTGGGGACTGTGTCGAGTGAAGGGAATCCTTGTACAGTGTGGGGAAGTGAGTGAGTGAAGGGAATCCTTGTTCAGTGTGAGTGAAGGGGACTGTGGGACTGGGAGTGAAGGGAATCCTTGTACAGTGTGGGGACTGTGTGAGTGAAGGGAATCCTTGTACAGTGTGGGGACTGTGTGAGTGAAGGGAATCCTTGTACAGTGTGGGGGACTGTGAGTGAAGGGAATCCTTGTACAGTGTGGGGACTGTGAGTGAAGGGAATCCTTGTTCAGTGTGGGGACTGTGTGAGTGAAGGGAATCCTTGTACAGTGTGGGGACTGTGAGTGAAGGGAATCCTTGTACAGTGTAGGGACTGTGAGTGAAGGGAATCCTTGTACAGTGTGGGGACTGAAGTGAAGGGAATCCTTGTACAGTGTGGGGACTGTGAGTGAAGGGAATCCTTGTACAGTGTGGGGACTGTGTGAGTGAAGGGAATCCTTGTACAGTGTAGGGACTGTGTGAGTGAAGGGAATCCTTGTACAGTGTGGGGTGTGGGGACTGACTGTGTGAAGGGAATCCTTGTACTTGTTCAGTGTGGGGACTGGAGTGAAGGGAATCCTTGTATAGTGTAGGGACTGTGAGTGAAGAGAATCCTTGTACACTGTGGGGACTGCGAGTGAAGGGAATCCTTGTACAGTGTGGGGACTGAGTGAAGGGAATCCTTGTATAGTGTAGGGACTGTGAGTGAAGAGAATCCTTGTACACTTGGGGGACTGCGAGTGAAGGGAATCCTTGTACAGTGTGGGGACTGTGTGAGTGAAGGGAATCCTTGTATAGTGTAGGGCAGATGTGGGCAAGTATGTGGGGATCATGTGCCAGCAACCTGTGTTGACAGCATAAACTTGTCAAGCTTTTCTTACAAGTCATGATCACTTCCACAGAGTGTGTCTGTTATTTTTCACATGTCACAGTGATGGAAACTACTTTCTTGTTTTCCAGGAATGGGAATCCATGTGGCTCTGTCTGAGCAGGCTGACGAAATTGCCAGCATTGTACAACAGGCCAGCCAGGGAAAACAGCCCAGCTGCCATAGTAACATAAACAAGAGAAGTGAGTTTATCTTTTGATTATTTTTCATTTCATTTCAAACTTTGTAATCATATTCACCAGATTTCCACCAGACTAACTTCACTGAGTTTCCTGAGGTGTTATATTGCAAGTATTGCTGTGTGCTGTGAGCATTGATTTCACAAGAAGGCTATACATTTCTCCCTGTCCTTGTCTCTCCCATGTCCTGGTATGGGACAGTGGCTGTCTCGTTTCTACAGGCAAGGCATCAGTTTCAGCTGCTCTCTTCTTTCAGCTTTAGCAATATCTGCTTGTAGAGCTTTGCCATTGTGATAACAAGTTATGGCTAGTAATGCCTCATTGTCTAAGTTAACTTCACATAATATCTACGTTGAATTAACAGTTTTGTATTGAATGGTGATGGAACTTATCTTTTACTAGCAACCAACACTGAATGTTTACAGGTATATAACATAATTATGGTTCATGATTATTGGTACAAAACACTAACAGACAGTGATTTATATTTAGGAATGGTATAATAAGACCAAGGTGTTATGTGTTATGAAGAGGCCCCTATCCGTGTCAAGTGCTGAAACAAACTGACATATGAACATGTCTGTCAGATAGGTGGAGCAAGCATTTAGCAGTGGGCTACAGTCAATAAAGGCTGTTTGTTTGGTTGGGGGGAGGCAGGGGGGATCTCCTTCAGCATCCTGTTACCTCAGTGTTGAGTAACTGCAGTGAGGCAGCTAGGCTCCTTCCCCAGGAGGCCATTAGGAAGGCACTCATCTGTGCTGGGTTTCAACCAGGAGGAAATAGGCTCAGTGCTTGCTAGTGAACAGCTGACAGACATACAGTTGTTACATTCTGGCATGTATAAATGTGGGTACCTGTTTTTATTGTGTTAATATCTTAGGCATTTACTTATCAAATTATCATTATATCAGTCTGTTCAAGAATATTTTTAAGCCAAATTAAAGGAAAATAATTGGAGTTGCTCTACAAACTGTATGGATGGTCTCTCATTAATGACTGGCATAAATTATTGTTTTGAAATTGCTATTTGTCTTCAAAATTGTTACTGTATAGGTGAGTAAACTAATAACATGCTTGTAACATATGTTATATTTGGGATTACACTTTCTTAGTAATTAATAACATGCTTGTTTAGCCCATTTCACTTCTATGTGAAGTCAGTTATGTTAATCTGTCATCTTGTATAGAGGAATCATTCTTCTTGGAAGAAAAGGAGAACACACCGCCATGTTCCTGATAATCCCATTGTAAGCTTTCATGCAGCAGACAGGGTATGGGGCAGCCAGATTTGCCAGCAGGATAGTCTCCCACTCTGTAACATGAGAGGTGTGGACTTGGAAGATTGTGAAAACTAGATACGGTTGTTTTGAGTAATGGGACAGATTTCAAATGGAGGCTTTGATTGCCTATTTAGTCCTGTTGGTAATGTTGATGTGTGTTAACATGCTTGAATGGTAATTATTTCCCCCCAGTTGTGTGGTGTGCTCTGCGAGATGCTGGCAGGTACTCTTATCTCGGTGTGGGGAGGACAGATGTGTTATCATAACAGTTTATGTTTCTAAGTAGACAAATACCTAGTGATGAGAGAAATGGAGGTAAAGCAGCACTTTGCCTCATCACTGTTGATAGGAACTGCAAACAAGGACCCAGTGTCTCCTTTACTGGATGTTTAGGAACACATAATACATTATGTCAAAACACAACCATTTGGTGCAGTCAAGATAAACACCATGTAACAAGCATGGATGATGATGTAGTCGGGCTGTTGACCATTGCAGCATTGTAGGGAGCTAGCAAGCAGTGCCTCAAATACCCTTACCTTATACCAGTATAGCATTGCACAGCAATTATATGATCATGGTAGGTTCTGCTTCTGTATATGAAAGCTGATGTTTGACTGATTTTAGTGTACATTATGCACTTCAATAAACTGTTGTCCAGTTGATTCATCAACTTGGTTCATGAATCTGCTAGTGTTACTCATACCACTTGCTGACCCGGATCAAAGGTCCTTGTGAGCAACTACCAGGTTCTGCTGGTCTCATAGGTGATATTCATTGTCATGATTTTCAAGCGAGACCTGGGAGGTCAATGTGTGTTTCTTGACAAGTCACTACTGGTTCCCATCTGTTTTGTAAAGGAACAAAAGTTAAAGCATTTGCTTTTCAAAAGCAAAAGGCCCCAACAGTTTAAAATGCCTGCTCAGTTTGAGCTTTAAAGATCGTGTATGTTAGCAGTTAAGTAAAGTTAATTTATATATTTTTATATTAAGGTTATAAGATAAATAAATATTAATTTATTTTAAGGTTATAAGATATTATGAGTCTAATGTGTTGAATCCATCATAATTAGCAGCTTAACTGTTACAGATGAGAGTACAAAAACTTTATTGCTATATTTGTTGCAAATGTATTGTTTTGCTTAATGTAGTCATGAAGCATATATTTTATAAAGAAGCTGATGAATGTAGCATGTTTTGTGCTCATTTTTGTCTGTGAAAGGAATTGTGGTCAGTTTTGTTCTTCATCAACTTCTTACATGTGGTCAGTCATTTGATATGCTTCTCAGTTGTATGGGTAGAAAATGCTGAGACATATTGAAGACAGTAAATTCTTTTAGATGTTTATTATAACAAAAAATGTATTGTTTCTTAGATATTGACCTTATCAAAATTTGTTGCAAACAGTGCCAAATCACTAAGTAACTACTTTGGGAACATGATAAACGATGAAAGTGAATGTAATATAGTTAGGTGAGCAATAGTACTGTGGCACAGTTGTTTGTTGTTTTCCTGAGAGGCTAGTTCCCTTACCTGAGACACATAGTTATGTAACATTGTTGCACAATTACCTTTTGATAGAACTCCCTTGATCTGTACACAGTGCAGAATTTGCTTAGACAGGAACTGAGTGTAATATGTTATGCAAGTATGGTTCAACTGCATGAGAATCAAGTATTGCTCCACTTATGTATATGTACTATGCCTGGCAGCGTTCAATGTAACAGTGGATCTACTGCCTTTGTGGGGAGTTTGTACATGTGTTGGTAACATAGGGCACATCTTTGGCCAGATGAACAGTGGTAAAGTTAGGTCTGCTTTATCTCATGTCAGTAGCCCTCTTTCAGTAGCGGATCTATATGAACTTCCATGCTTTATAAATGAGCTTTATATGATGACATTGTTGTGTGTATTGATGTTGTGAAAAGAAGGCACATATGGCAATGATGGGGACATTTATATTCCACCACAGGCTCAGATTCCTGGTGCTTTTGACTCTGTTGGATCATCATTTGGAAGTGGCAACAATGGCCTGCCACCCAGTATGCTGGGTTGCTGTGGCGATATGCAGAATCAGGATGACTGGGGGTGGCAGAAGCGACACTCCATTAGTGTCATGGACTACAGGAGGATGGGAGCCTTGGCAGAGAAGTCAAAGTTAATGAGCATTGAAAATCTAGAAAGACAAAGACTGTTGGCAGTATATGATGTCCCTCCTAAACGGATTCGTAAAGTTGAAACAAATGTTGTGTCCCAAGCTGTTGGTGGTCAGAGATCAGACAGCGACAAGGCCAAGTCCTGTGTTTCATGTTCTGCTCTCCTAGGTAGGGTTTCTGATACCTCTCGTGTATGTTCCCATGGTGCTTCCTACTCCTCCCTTCCTTATGAGAACAGCTCTCAACCATATGTCAGCAGTCTGTCCACAGCCTGCTCTGCAAAAGATCTGTTCAAGCTTCAAGGCAGAGGAGATTACCATGGCTACTCAAGAAGCCTGGGAAGTCAGGGAAACTACCAACTTAGTGTCATTGAAGATGAAATAAGAATGGCAAATGACAGGACTAAAAGGAAAGAAGCCCTTCAGAAACTTCAAAGAGAAGAGAGTTCCTTGCAAAGAGAAATCACTCTGTTGGATGAAATTTTGCAAGTATGTAAATTTGATGATGAGGGTAAAGCTGGTGAACTTAAAGGAACCAAACCTTCAACAGTCATATTAGAGAAATCTTCTAGTCTACCTCAGAAGACAAAGAAAGATTTGTGGGTAGACACTAAGAAGTGTAACACAGAAGTAGCAAAGCTCAGAACCACAGGGCCTGAAAAACAAAGCATGGAAACCAACTGTCTCAGTCCTAATTTGTTAAGCAAGCTGAAAGAAATTCCTTCTCATTCTAAACTGCTTGCTCCACTACCATATGTAAACTTGTCTAAATATGATGAAGATGACAAGTCAGATCATGTACATGTTCCAGGAAGTGGAGACAAGCTTGTAGTTTCCAGTGCCTGCAGCAGCAGCTTAAGCAATGTGTCGGTGTTCAACAAGGAGAATTCTCCTCATACACAAGCTATTAAACAGAAACTGGGAGCCAGGTCCTCCAGTGAGTCTCGGATTGCTGTCAGAAGCAGCCAGTGGGAAGAGGAGGAGCAGCAAGTTCCTCAGTGGCAGAAAGAACCAATATATGCCAATGAATGCATAAAAAAAGGAAAATACACCACCACCTGAGCTGCCACCCAAAGGACCAGCATTGTTAAGAAAGAACTTATCCAAAACATCTACTGTTGTACCCCATTATCCACAGCCTGGCTTGAGTCTCACACCACCTGCTCTTCCTTCCAGAGATAGGAGTCGGTCTGTTGGGTCGCAGGGTAAGCTCCATGGATATGACAATGCTCCTATGGTTGGTTACCAGGCTTCTACACCTTCTTCTACATCAGTTGGAACGCAAGATTCCTACCTACTTATGGGGGGATTTCAAGAAGAGCCTAAGACACCAATGGAGGGACAGCCTTTTGGTAGTGGTGGCATTGATTCACACAGAACCAGTGTCACATCTCGAGCACTGATAGTGGGTGCTAAGGGGAGGGAGATACACAGAAATGTCTAGTCAGTATATGGAAATGGGGCAGTTTGAACCTGAATGTCCGAACTTAAGAATTTCAGACTCATCATCATCTGAAAGTGACCTTTATGGATATTCTCCTAGTCCAAGACCTTCAGTTGAGTTGAGAATAACTGAGCCAATAGATGAAGCTGCACCTTACATACGACAGCCAAGGCAAGAAAGCAACTATATGGAGATGACTGGTTTACAGAGTAACAGAAATTCTCAAGTCCTTCAAAACCTGCAGACTCTCCAGACATATGTATCTTCAACACCAGGAGGTGACAGTTTAAATCAGAATACTAAGAGTGAGGTGGTCAGACCTGCTATGCCTTTTCCAAATTTGCTCAATTTCCAAAAGAGACAATCTGATCAAAAGAAAGCGCCATCAAGAACAATCATCAGCTCTAATTCTAGCCAGGCAGGTGAAAATACTCCCACCCAGGAGACCCCAAAAGAAGGTGGGGGCTTTCTTGCCAGATTTATGAGGAGAAGCTCCAGAGACCAGAAAGCAGCATCACAAAGTCAAGAAAACCTGACAGGAGCTCGGAGTCGAGCCAGTTACCTGGAACGTAGTCAGTCAGACCAAGGGGAACCGAGTAAGCCTGAGCTGCCAGAAACTGTTCCTCACATAAAGGTTGGCAGACAGCGTTCATCAAGCTTCCCCAATAGACTCAGCTACCAGGAGGCTAATACTGAATTGAAAATGCCACCTTCACCCAAAGACCTGCCACCTCCTCTTCCACCGGAAAGGAACAGAGCCAGGGAATACAGAGGTAGTAAAAGTTTATCGCTGGATGACAAGCCTGGTCCCCCAGTTGAAATCATCAGTAAGTCCAGTAACAGTCAAGGGTTAAAGAGAAACATCACAGAACCTCTTCTGAAGGTTGAAGAAACCAAACCAGAGATGAGGGTTTTGACTGTCCTGCATGTACAGCAAGAGCTGCAGTTGACAAATCCTTACCATCAGTTGACAGAATCTTCCAAAACAGATGATGAAAAGTTGATTGAACTTTTGCAGAATGGTGGTAGTTCAAAGCTAGGAAGAGAAGAAAAAGGAAACTATGCATCTATGTCGGAACTGAAGAGTAAAATGAGTTTGCCATTTCCTGTCAAGAAACAACTGAGTGCCAATGAACAAGCAGCAGAGATAGCTCGCCATGTTACATCACTGCCTCCATTTATCCCACCAAAGACAAAGCCATACCCTTCAACTCTGTCGCCAGTGATAGAATCACAGTTATCACCCAGAGGTATGGCTTCTGATGCCATCTATGTGGAGATGAAGGAACTGCCTGGTAGAAGATCACCCAGCACCTCTGATGCTTTTGCCCTGGACCCTGCAGGCCAGAAGGACAAGGCCCGTGCAACACTCCGAATTTGTCCACCAGTAGAGGATGAAAACGGGAAAATCTGGGTCCCTCGTAGTAGCCTGAACTCTGCAGGTACGTGCAGCATGAGGGTTTTCATTGGTTGGAATGCTGATAGCTTGGTATTGGAGCCTGCCACTTCTTTCTGTTGCTAGCCCTGCTGCCTCTCCAAATCTCAGTGCACTGCTTGCCATGAGAATTACAGTAACTGTCCATTGTATCACAATGTTCTTGCACAGAAGCTTCATAGTAGTCTTTTTTTCTATTTTATTTTATTTTTTGCTTTTATTGGACTTTTTCACTGATTTGCAACTAACTTTATTACAAATGTACTGAGATTTGGAGAGAGCTAAATCATATACCGATATATTGCTTGAAGGACTGATGGAAAAGTATGTCAGTTAAAGCATCAAGTAGAAAAACTATGTTTGTCTTGTAGTTTAATCTGTATGTCATTTGTTTTGTTATAACCTGACTCTGTGAAGTGTTTCCATGTTGTCTGCTTAGAGAGTTCACATATGACAATGGATAATTTGACAGAGGCCTTATGAAACACCTCTAGATAGTCTATAAGGTGATGAGTGTCTGATCTTCATGTCAGGCTGGCTAAAATAGTGACTTACCAATCTCATCTCCAGCTAGCTCGCAGTGCATGTAACAGCATTTGTTTGTCTGTAGCTGCAACACCACTAACACTGCTTTATGTGTAAGCCTCATACCTGAAATATACCTTAAATTGGTGTACTACTTGGTCAAAAGTCAAGATTCTTAGATATATTTGAGTTTTTCTTGCCACTTTTGAAAGTATAGACTAAGATTGTGTTGATATTATAGTAGTCTTACCCGATAGCATGCCTGCCTGTTTCCCTGCTTGCTAAACACTTCTGCATGAACACCCCTCTGCACCTTACTCTCTCCGCATAACTTGTACCTTCATTGTTCAGATGGGTATATATCTTCATCACCTAAATAATTATAGCGATGCTTCTTCATAACTTCTTTAAAGTGTCTTATTTATGTATTTAAAAGTATGAAACTGAAATTTTTAGAAAGTCCTCCTTAAATAAGACCATGTTTTTTGTGATGTAAGAAACTATGTAATATTTCATGTACATGTTTATTTGTGCTATGCCTTTCTGGTGTGGTTGATATGGCATGCTAATGACATGTGTAATTCAATTCTTAGTTAGGATGTTTTCGTAGTCATTACAGTTGCAAGTATGATGAAATTGCATTTATGTATCAAGACATGATTTCAGTTTTGTCAAAAAGTGCTCTAAATGCTGATGAAATAATATGTGAGCTTACTCTACAGTTACTGTTACAGAAACTGCCAGTGGGTCATCCCCTCACAGTGCCAAATGTTGTGACACCCAGAATTTACACTATAGTGCTCTGGTGGTCTCTGTTGATGATCTCAATGACAAACTGGATGCCATTTCTGTCTCTTCCCATGAGAGTAGTGACAATCACAGTATTCGCAGTGAAGACACTGTTCGGAGTAGCCCCGCCTCCACCATACTGCGACCAAGGTCGGGCAGAGACTACCAGTTCGTAGAGCGACGACACACAACAAGTGAGAGCTGTACATCCAGCCCCCAGACACCGTACTCTCCGTCCTCCGGAACTGTCTTCAGTTTTGAAAGTACTATGTCCAACTCATCGCATGGCGAAGAGTACAATGCCTACATGAATGTGGATATGACACCAGGTGCTAAGGATTCTGTGTTGAGCCACAAACATGTGTCTGATCATGAAGTCTCTCCCGAGAGGACGCTACGAGATAGGCTGATCAGTGAAAGAGATAGGCGAAGCAGTGAGCGAGAAAAAGTAATAGGTGAGAGAAACAGGTTGAATAGTGAAAGAGACCGAATCAACAGTGATAAAGAGCATTTACATAGCCCAAGAAGCAATTTGAGAGGTGACAAAAATCAGTTAAGTCCTGAAAGGGACATGGTTGGACAAGCACAAGACAAGCATGATGTTGATTTAAAACTACACCAGAGTGATATGAATTGTGAAAGTCCAGAGAAAGTCATCACTAAAATAGACAGATCAAGTAGTGATCAGAAAGCTAATGGTGACAGAGACACTTCCCATGTTGAAGAAGGAGACATCCAAGATGACCTATACTCTGGTAGTGAGCACTCACCCTCATGTAACAAGAGTGCATCGCCCCCTCTGTCCCCTTGTGTGCCAATGTCCCCCATACCACCGGAGCAGGTGAACCCCCAATTAAACTATGCAGAGATTGACTTGTCCACAGCATGTGCTGCAGCATCTCCTACAGAAACAAAGAGAAAGCCAAAGAAAACTGTGCCCACCACCCCAATTGCATATGCAACAATCGACATGCTTGCCACGCATGCCGTGAAGCAGGCAGGGATTGAGCATGCGCAGTCTCGTGAGGACAGTCTTCGGCGCAGTGTCAGTGTGTGTACTCGGAAAAACTCAGCTCCTTTGGTGAAAGATAGGAAATATTCAATGCGAGAACGGAAAATGAGCACAGGTTCTTTAGGTGACACATAGCCTTTTGCATGCTTTGTGATGTATTTATGACCTGACAGTGCCTTCATTATTTCTGTAAAGTGCCGCTAATACAAAAGGCAGCAGTTTTAAACAGTGTGCTCAATCTTTTTCTCTCCTAGGAATTCTTACACGATTGGTGGGTTACTTTGCTCAGTTTGCCACAGTACAAGGGAGATAACTCTTATGCCCAGTTGTGAGTCCCATTTATGTACTGGAGATTTTTGTGTTTTTGTGAAGGTCGTATTTATGTTGTCTCCATGTTGCCTTATATTTATTTATGTGTTCTGTATTTGTATAAAATTTCAATTGGCATTGTCTTGCAAAAGATGAAGTTCTGTGAATGTATGTTTATATTAATATGTTTCTTTTCCTTGGTTGTTTGGGGACAGAGTAAATGGATTTTACTTGAACATGTTGAGTTGTGTACTGGATAGAAAGAAAATTAAAACAAATATTACCTATTTGCTTATGCTGAAATTAGAGGTATGTTCAGTCAGTTGAAATTTGGAAACGGAACAGAGACTCCTTCATTTCTCAGTTGAGATAACCTAAAAACATTAGATGCTTCAGATCTCTAAATTGCTATCTCTATTTGAACATGTGAAGACAACCAGGTCACACACAATTGTCTTTCCAGTTGTCGTGGTTCTATTGCGTATCATTTGGCCACAACTAACATGCCAGTTGAACGATGACAGTACGGAACACACTGTAGGCTGTGATTGTCATGTCTCTGTATGGCATTCACTGTTTTAAAGTTACAGTGATCACTACCTCAAAATAACATGCCATTTCTCATGGAGGTGCTTTCTAATAGGTTATAATTTGTTAGCTGTTCATTAAATAAATGATTCATATTATTCTTAAAACACCTTTTTCCAATTGATCTCTGGAGGTATTAGTTCCACAATGGCTTGTAAGGACACAGTTTAGCACACCAGACAGGTTGCCACTGGGTGCCATACTTTGTACATATGTATTTGAAGGTGAGATAGGTTCCAGGATTGTTGATTGGCATTTCCCAGAAGTTGACAGGTGACAAAGTAGGTACTAGTTATGGATAACATCTTTAACATACTAATGTTATGCTTCAGTATCAGTCCTTATAGGATTGTCAAGCTGGACTGTAACAGGATCTGTTTTGCAAATGCTTCACATATACATGTGAGACATGACGTGCAAGATCTTGCATTATATCGTACCTGGGTACCCTTTATCATAAGGCTAAAACCATACACATTATGTTTAAGTTTTTATAGCTTTGTTTCCAATCCATATAGATTGTTTTGCCATAACAGGACCATAACAGCAGTGTCAGAGAAAGATCCTTACTTCCCCTAAACCATTGTTATAAGTTCAATATTACCAACTATTTTCGAGATAACTTTATGTAAATGCTGTTCATGCTCCAAACATGTCAGGTGGTTGATGGTGAAGGGCTAAGAGGTGTGATGCAAGATCTTAACGGCTTGTGATATGCCTGCTTCTGGGTTCCATGATGAAGATGCCATATCTACTATGTTAATGCATTCATATATATATTCTGATTTCTTGAACAGAACATTGTAGTGCAATCTAATTAAAATCAGATGGTTAGCTCTGATACAATACCTCTGTAAGTGAATATTCGGTAGGAGTGTCCTAGTCAGAACTAGGAGTACAGTCAGAATGAACAAAACATTAAGAGCAGCATATCTTGATTTGCAAAGTTTGGTTCAAATTTTTGAGTTGCATCAGTTTTATATTTTGAACTTAAAGAAAACCAAATGAGTCTTTATTCAGACAGTAACTTGAACAGATTGTTTACAAATTTGGGGGTCACCCTCCATTTCTGTGGGAGAGGTGCTGTGCAGACTTCTATTTTGATATTACCCTGGTACTAATTATCAAGATTTATCACAGATTACATCTCTTGAACTCAGGTATTGGGTGGGGAAACATCTTTATTTTAATAAGATTGAATTATGCTGTGAAATATGTTCAATTAAGTCCAATTTCAGACTCAAATGAAGTGTAAAGTGAGGGGTGGAGACAAGGGGTGTCTAGCGTACTGCCGACATAGTTATCGCTCTGCACAGGAGGAACCCTGTAACCTCATGTACACTGAATGATTGGCTGTAAATATTCACTTCCCCAGGACGGTGTTACCAAGCAGACAGCACAAAACACAAAGTTGTGATATATTCCAACGTGATTAGGGGAATATGGGCTGTGTTGTCTTGTATACAGGCATTGTATCCGTAAGAGGCCAAGGCTACAATGACCTTGTGGAATTGTTTTGGGGCCACTGAAGGTAATTCTCCTTGTTGGGCAGTTGTGCTGCTACTGAACAGTAGAAGTATGATTGTTGTGTAGTGGGGACGGCGCATTGTGACTAACAGGTTTTGCTGGCCAGGTTTTTGTCTTACTCAGTTTCAGTGGTTGATATAGCCGTGATCAGAATGAACAGATTGCTTTAGTCTCATCATGGTGCTGTGCTGAATGTTTTGGGATCAAATTCTTCATATTTATGTTGACAATAATTTGTTGTTGAAATGTACAGTGTGATTGATGGAAGACAGATTGTGCAGGTGCTTGTGGTCTGTCTTGCCGAGAGTCATGGACCTTCATTACGTTATATGTATGCATATTGTCAGAAACTAGATGGCACAGCATGCTTTCTAGCTGTGTAAAGATAACACTGACATATTTTCTTTTCATTGTGTGGAACAGTGGATTCTGGTAATCCTGATGTGGCTCTCTCGGTGACCGGTTACATGGAATGTCCAGCTGCACAGTGTCTAAGCAATGCTTCATAAATCAGGCATTTCTTAACACTGACTTCATGTGCAGTTATAAAACAATTTGGTCTTGCATAAATGTTTGCAGAAAATTATTTTAGTAATCCTTTTTATGGGTTTTGTTATTTTGGGAAAATATTGTTTTGGTACAAGAATGTGATTAGTAAACCACTCAACTGCAAGGATGAGTGTTTTATCACCATACCCAGATGAATCCTTCACTGACTATGTGAACCACATCCACCCATCATGAAGTATCCCACCCATAACTCTACATGTACTGTGGTCCACGTTGATGGTCAAGTATTTCACTGCCATAAGTTGTCTGGGAAATGCTATCCAGATTCCAGCATGTTGCGATCAACACCCTGAAACTGTGTTTCCTCCCTGTCATCTGCACTGTGTCCCGGAATGTCACATGGCAGTTGTGTAGTGTCAGTCAGTCAATCTAAGTAGATGATGAAGTCATTGTGAAATGTATATTTCAGATGGTGCTACTAGTTTCAGTCAAACAATGGCAGATGCTGCCTGATAGTGTGTACAGGCAAGGCAAAACAACGTGTCTGTTTCTCCTGTTTGTATTCAAGCAAAGTTTATTTCGGGAAAATGATGTTGCAAAAGATAATAAGGACATTTGTTTGTGCCTTCCAATGCTTGTGTGATGGCTGTTGCTGCTACTGTCAATGAGCTCAAGAGGGCAGCTGCTGGTTGAAATGTTGCTTTTCAATAGTACCATAATACTAGATGTGTTTTTCATTTGGCATTGTGTTGTCCGTAAGCCTATCAAAAACCTGGAAACATTAATGAGTAAAAAATCCATAATGAACGTTTCCTATATTTGTAAACAGTTCAAATGTGTACGACAGTCATATATTCACGAAGAAATATTACTGTTTCTTTTGTTTAAGAAAGTTTTGCAGTGTGTACAGTAACCTATTCTGAGGAAAATATTTGGTTTGACATACATATTCAGTAGGTACCTTTTCATGTAGTAAAGCTAAATATCTGCACACATACACTTGAAGAATGGCAAGATATTGTCTCATGTTTCCTCTTCAGGCATAGTAATTGTCGTCTTTCAGACAGGTGCTTGTTAAGTTTAGACATACCAGTACATGTATGTGGATGATTTTTCCAAACCTCCTTCCCCCTGCCAACTATTTGTTTGGAGCCTGTAGCAGCAGCAGCCAGTCAATGTAGAATGCATGCTTGTGTGTGACTGAGACTGTTTGAATCATTGTCAAGGAGTGAGAGCTGATTTTATATAATTTTTATAGTAAATTATGCTTGTTATGTTTGTATTTTTGTTAGAGACTGGAGTACCCAGCTTGCTTTGTGTCCAAATTCATCTGGAAGGTGAAACCATGTGCTAGATACTTCCTTTGTTTGCCAAATTACATCTCATTATCTGTATTGTGGTTTTTCAACGAATGCATAATAAATTCATATTTAGTCATTTCAAGGTGTGTTCTTGTGATGTTTGGATGTGACTGATACATGATAGATCCCTGCTGTCAAATGAGTATGTTGTCATCACTCTGTCATTGTTCTGTGTGATGGCCCAAGTGACTGTGCCTGGTATCTGACATGCAACTATACATAAGAAGTCATGTGATTGGTGACAAGTACTGAGCCTCTTACAGAAGAAATTCCCAGATAGTGAAATCTTTTGTTGTATACATTGCATAGAGGTATATCTACACAACTTCAGAGTCAATTTAGCAAATTGTTTCACCGTCACAAAGCAGCGAAGTAACTGGAAAATGGACAAACTTGAAGTAATGATCAGTGAACAAATACTGGTTTAAAAAAAAACAGATTACACCAATAGACATTCTTAAAGAATTCGTAGCAGATGTAAAACGTGGCACAGAGCATTATGGAACGCATATCACCAACACCAGAAAAGATCCGGTGAATCCATAATGGTGATGTCCACCCTGCGAATGACATGTACTTCCCGGGCAAAAGTATAACGTACTAACTGATATTGACGATAGTATTTGACAAAGCTTTTGATAAGTAATGAAAAAAATGAAGTTTGAAGCTGATTCAGAAAACTTCTTGCAACAATTTGTGACTGATGTGTGGATGAAACTTGGGTTGAACACTTTAACCTGAGCAACACTGGAAGTATGTGTCATCACCACCAACGAAGGCAAAGACTATGCCATAAACTGGAAACCATATGGGGTATCATCCAGGTTGACTACTTTCCAAACATTTTGAAACATGTTAGTGCTGCTTTGGAAACTGAGGCGAGATATACTGTCCCATGAGGATTTGCACCAGTGCAGAAACACGTCTTTGCCATGGCCAACATCCACAAGTGTGTCCTTGAATTCTTAAGCGCAAACTTAACCTTCTGATCGAGCTCCATCAAAGTTCCTTTTTTCAGTACATGAACAAAGCTCTAGTTGAATCCCATTTCAACTCCAATGATGACGTTATCACAGCAGTGGAGGGCCTTTTGGGCAGTTAGAGAAACACTTAAAAAACTTTGATAAAATCCCTCGAACATAGTTATCAAAGGTGTCATGTGTTATAAAGATGCCTACTCAATTACCAGCTCTGACACTGCTGGTCAGCTACTGGAACACAGGATTACTACACTAATGTCATGATATGCTCAATCTGGAGATGGAAAGTCAAGTTTTCTGTACGAAATTAAGAGGCACAAAACTTTTGCCCCCTGTTGCTTTATCTGTGATGTAGTTGACCTTTGAACATAATGCTGATTTGAAAGGTTCAAACAGATTTTCTTACTCAACTATGATACCTGTTTCATCATCTTGTTGAAATGCGTTGACAGTGAGTTTTTACAGCTAGGAAACATTGGGGTTATCTATCAACCATCTATCCCTCACAGCAGCTCCTTCACCCTGCAGAGAATGGGTCATCCACATTTTGAGTTATCTATCAACCATCTATCCCTCACAGCAGCTCCTTCACCCTGCAGAGAATGGGTCATCCACATTTGAGTTATCTATCAACCATCTATCCTTCATCCTGCAGAGAATGGGCCATCCACATTTGAGTTATCTATCAACCATCTATCCTTCATCCTGCAGAGAATGGATCATCCACATTGGGGTTATCTATCGACCGTCTATCCCTCACAGCAGCTCCTTCACCCTGCTGAGGATGGGTCATCCACATTGGAGTTATCTATCAACCATCTATCCTTCATCCTGCAGAGAATGGGTCATCCACATTGGGGTTATCTATCGACCGTCTATCCCTCACAGCAGCTCCTTCACCCTGCTGAGAATGGGTCATCCACGTTTGAGTTATCTATCAACCATCTATCCTTCATCCTGCAGAGAATGGGTCATCCACATTGGGGTTATCTATCGACCGTCTATCCCTCACAGCAGCTCCTTCACCCTGCTGAGAATGGGTCATCCACGTTTGAGTTATCTATCAACCATCTATCCTTCATCCTGCAGAGAATGGGTCATCCACATTGGGGTTATCTATCTCCACCATCTATCCCTCACAGCAGCTCCTTCACCCTGCTGAGGATGGGTCATCCACATTGGAGTTATCTATCAACCATCTATCCTTCATCCTGCAGAGAATGGGTCATCCACATTGGGGTTATCTATCAACCATCTATCCCTCACAGCAGCACCTTCACCCTGCTGAGGATGGGTCATCCAAATTGGGGTTATCTATCAACCGTCTATCCTTCATCCTGCAGAGAATGGATCATCCACATTGGGGTTATCTATCAACCATCTATCCCTCACAGCAGCACCTTCACCCTGCTGAGGATGGGTCATCCACATTGGGGTTATCTATCAACCGTCTATCCTTCATCCTGCAGAGAATGGATCATCCACATTGGGGTTATCTATCAACCATCTATCCTTCATCCTGCAGAGAATGGGTCATCCACATTGGGGTTATCTATCAACCATCTATCCCTCACAGCAGCTCCTTCACCCTGCTGAGGATGGGTCATCCACGTTTGAGTTATCTATCAACCATCTATCCTTCATCCTGCAGAGAATGGGTCATCCACATTGGGGTTATCTATCTACCGTCTATCCCTCACAGCAGCTCCTTCACCCTGCAGAGAATAGGTCATCCACATTGGGGTTATCTATCAACCATCTATCCTTCATCCTGCAGAGAATGGGTCATCCACATTGGGGTTATCTATCAACCGTCTATCCCTCACAGCAGCTTCTTCACCCTGCTGAGAATAGGTCATCCACATTGGGGTTATCTATCAACCATCTATCCTTCATCCTGCAGAGAATGGATCATCCACATTGGGGTTATCTATCAACCATCTATCCTTCATCCTGCAGAGAATGGGTCATCCACATTGGGGTTATCTATCAACCGTCTATCCCTCACAGCAGCTCCTTCACCCTGCAGAGAATAGGTCATCCACATTGGGGTTATCTATCAACCATCTATCCTTCATCCTGCAGAGAATGGATCATCCACATTGGGGTTATCTATCGACCGTCTATCCCTCACAGCAGCTCCTTCACCCTGCTGAGAATGGGTCATCCACGTTTGAGTTATCTATCAACCATCTATCCTTCATCCTGCAGAGAATGGGTCATCCACAGTGTCTATCCCTCACAGCAGCACCTTCACCCTGCTGAGAATGGGTCATCCACATTTTAGTTATCTATCAACTACTATCCTTCATCCTGCAGAGAATGGGTCATCCACATTGGGGTTATCTATCGACCGTCTATCCCTCACAGCAGCTCCTTCGCCCTGCTGAGAATGGGTCATCCACATTTTAGTTATCTATCAACTACTATCCTTCATCCTGCAGAGAATGGGTCATCCACAGTTATCTATCCTTCATCCCTCACAGCTGCTGCTGAGAATGGGTCATCCACATTTTAGTTATCTATCAACTACTATCCTTCATCCTGCAGAGAATGGGTCATCCACATTGGGGTTATCTATCGACCGTCTATCCCTCACAGCAGCTCCTTCACCCTGCAGAGAATGGGCCATCCACATTTTAGTTATCTATCAACCATCTATCCTTCATCCTGCAGAGAATGGATCATCCACATTGGGGTTATCTATCGACCGTCTATCCCTCACAGCAGCTCCTTCACCCTGCTGAGAATGGGTCATCCACATTGGAGTTATCTATCAACCATCTATCCTTCATCCTGCAGAGAATGAGTCATCCACATTGGGTCTATCTATCAACCGTCTATCCCTCACAGCAGCTTCTTCACCCTGCTGAGGATGGGTCATCCACATTGGGGTTATCTATCAACCGTCTATCCTTCATCCTGCAGAGAATGGGTCATCCACATTGGGGTTATCTATAAACCGTCTATCCCTCACAGCAGCACCCTCATCCTGCAGAGAATAGGTCATCCACATTGGAGTTATCTATCAACCATCTATCCTTCATCCTGCAGAGAATGAGTCATCCACATTGGGTCTATCTATCAACCGTCTATCCCTCACAGCAGCTTCTTCACCCTGCTGAGGATGGGTCATCCACATTGGGGTTATCTATCAACCGTCTATCCTTCACCCTGCTGAGGATGGGTCATCCACATTGGGGTTATCTATCAACCGTCTATCCCTCACAGCAGCACCCTCATCCTGCAGAGAATGGGTCATCCACATTGGGGTTATCTATCAACCATCTATCCCTCACAGCAGCACCCTCATCCTGCAGAGAATAGGTCATCCACATTGGAGTTATCTATCAACCATCTATCCTTCATCCTGCAGAGAATGAGTCATCCACATTGGGGTTATCTATCAACCGTCTATCCCTCACAGCAGCACCCTCATCCTGCAGAGAATGGGTCATCCACATTGGGGTTATCTATAAACCGTCTATCCCTCACAGCAGCACCCTCATCCTGCAGAGAATAGGTCATCCACATTGGAGTTATCTATCAACCATCTATCCTTCATCCTGCAGAGAATGAGTCATCCACATTGGGTCTATCTATCAACCGTCTATCCCTCACAGCAGCTTCTTCACCCTGCTGAGGATGGGTCATCCACATTGGGGTTATCTATCAACCGTCTATCCTTCACCCTGCTGAGGATGGGTCATCCACATTGGGGTTATCTATCAACCGTCTATCCCTCACAGCAGCACCCTCATCCTGCAGAGAATGGGTCATCCACATTGGAGTTATCTATCAACCGTCTATCCTTCACCCTGCTGAGGATGGGTCATCCACATTGGGGTTATCTATCAACCATCTATCCTTCATCCTGCAGAGAATGGATCATCCACATTGGGGTTATCTATCAACCGTCTATCCCTCACAGCAGCTCCTTCACCCTGCTGAGAATGGGTCATCCACATTGGGGTTATCTATCAACCATCTATCCTTCATCCTGCAGAGAATGGATCATCCACATTGGGGTTATCTATCAACCATCTATCCCTCACAGCAGCACCTTCACCCTGCTGAGAATGGGTCATCCACATTGGGGTTATGTATCAAACTCTCTATCCCAGGTGGTTGATGGGCATTTAGAAGTTGGAAGGTAACATAACAACGTAACGGTATGGATTTACAATTCTTTTTTCCCAGCAATGGCTTCTCAAAAGAAAGCATCAGTTGTAAATGCAAGCAAGCATCAACCAACCAGAGGGCTTGCTGTGACCACATCCCCATTTTGTGCTGACCTATTGTCATCCATTTGGGACTGGATCATTTAGTTGAGGGTCAAACTCGGGTTTCAAACGACTTGCAGAAATAACAATAAAGAATTGGTAGATGTCATGATAGGCCAATCATCCATGATTATGTTTACATTAAGTTTAAATCGATTGCATGCAATAGTAGTGTACTGATCAGCAAAGCAGGCAGATGGGGTACACCAAAATATATGTCCGGCCTTGTCATGATGTATTGTACTGTGAAGCATTTCGAGTCGGCCATTCATCAATACTCTGTGACCTCCTATGGAAACAATGTGATTACTGGTCTATAGTCAGTTTTGTATATTTCAGTACTGATCAGTAGGAGACCTGTCAAGTCATGTAATCCGCAAATACTGGACCCAAGCATGAGAAATTGGGAAAAAGACTAACAGTACTGTGTCATTGTAGGATAAAAGCCTAGATATGCTAGTTTAAAAAAACCTCTATCTCTCAAAGTTACATGGTCATGTCTACAGTGACCTTGATCAGTCTTCGATACAAGGTGTTCTTGGTCTGTTGAACCTGCTATTGCACAGACCAGGGGTGGATGCAGCTTTTTGAGAAAGGGAGGGTGCACACTATTGAGAAAAGAGGGGGGTACACCTCATTTTCACCCGTCTCTCTCTCTCTCTCACTCTCTCTGTGTACTTATGCAGACTCAGGTGTAATGTGTACAAAACATCACTTCCTGAAGTCTGCTGGTTAGACATCAAGGTTCCTGAACCATTTCCCGGACCTGACGACTGATGGCTGTAGATGGTACAGATACAGTCCACCATCCTCCTTGTACACGGAAAACATACACACAATTTAGTCAAGTACATTTTATTCATCCAATGCATTGATGTAATATCACAGAAGTTTATCTAACAAATTACAAAAATACAATCAAAGAATCTTCCCATGCCATAGTGCTGAACACCACAGAGAGAAGTGTCGATGGCAACACTCAGCTCAAACAACATATTATACAGCTATTTTGCAACAAAACACTACTGTGTAAGAACGGGTGCTATGTGATGTTTGTCTGATTCTATTTCTTCAACTGTTATTGTACATGTGTACTGTTAGTTACAATTTTCAGTTAGGAAAGAGAACAATAAAGAAAGGTCAGCAGAAAAGGTAGTTGTTTGATCCCGTTTACAATGAAGACTGGTGACTAGATGATCAGATAGACACTCTTACATTTTCCTCTCAAACAAACATATTTTGTGAACCAAAACATTCCTTTTTGTCAAGTATATTTACGACTAATTTCCATTCCATGATACACCTTATATGTGGGACTTACAAACAGGTTCATTTGTGTGTGATTTTTTTCATGACAAATCTTATTAAAATGAAAACAAGTAAAAATGTGTTTAATCGTGTAATCACTTATACAGTAATGTGTGTTGTATGATGCTTGCCCCTGAATGTCACAGTTGAACATGGTTACCTTACTCAGATACGGCACAGTTGGAACCAACACACCCTTACTACATTCACATCAGACAGAGTGTCAGATAACCATGTGTCATTGTCCTCGGGTAGGATTCAGCTGTGTAGTAAAATTGTGATAATATGCATGAATTAAGCATATGGTGGACTTAAACCAGTATTCATGTGGTTACTGAAAGGGAAAGATTTATATATCAATTTAGATGACAGATTACTGTTTAGTCAATTTTAATTATGAAATTCTGAGAGTAACAGTGCCTTTAAATACTGTACTTGAATACCTACTGATACTAGTGGCTAATCACCCAACACAATACTGTACTTGAATACCTACTGATACTAGTGGCTAATCACCCAACACAGCACCAGTCCATAGAATACACAACATACTGCTTCTGTTTCATATACCGGAAAACAGGTGAGAACTATAAGTATTACATGTTGCCAAGTTGAGAACTAAGAGAGTCATGTTTTACACCTGAGAGCTACAGGTGTTACATGCTTTACACCTGAGAGTCAGTGAGAGCTACAGGTGTTTCATGTTTTACACCTGAGAGGTACAGGTGTAACATGGTATACAGCTGAGAGCTACAGGTGTAACATGGTATACAGCCGAGAGCTACAGGTGTAACATGGTATACAGCCGAGAGCTACAGGTGTAACATGGTATACAGCTGAGAGCTACAGGTGTTACATGGTATACAGCTGAGAGCTACAGGTGTACCATGGTATACAGCTGAGAGCTACAGGTGTTACATGGTATACAGCTGAGAGCTACAGATGTTACATGGTATACAGCTGAGAGCTACAGGTGTAACATTGTATACAGCTGAGAACTACAGGTGTAACATTGTATACAGCTGAGAGTCAGCAATATTACAGCTATACTATCTCCGAGGGTGAGTAGTCAAGCATGGACTACAACTGTCCCACATCCAGTCCCCAATCTGGTGCTCAGACAAGCTGGTGTACATTCTGTTACCAAAGTAGTTTAGATCCATATCCAATCAAGAGCTGTGGCTATATAAATCCATCTTTTGGTTTAACCTTGTCAACTCAGGTGAACTGGATGACTTTCACATGAATTTACTCTTTTTCTTTCTAACAATGTCGATACCTAACTTCAGCAATGGCAAGCCGTTGCTGAATCTGTGTACATTGCTAAGCTATTATCACAGATCATAAGAGGTCAACACATGACACACATATATATACAAATAAATAGATAGTAGTATACATAACAACAAACAATGAATAACCTTTTTCTAAAACCAAGTTATCATGAATTCAGCATATTATTTCCCCTCAAATTCTCATATTTCTGTCACAGAAAGACTGGTTTACTTGACAAAAAAGCTATCCAACGTGTGTGATTCGAGAAGTAGCAAGTAGAAACCTTACTAAGCAGTGTCTCTGCATGGAATATATGGCAATTACAAGTGGCAGTCTACAGTGATATTGTCCACCATGCCCAGTGCATGTCAGAGTGCTTCATGGATGTATGGCATGGAAGTCTAGTAAGGGAAGGTCAAGGTCACAACTGACTGGAGTTGGCTTACAACCAAAAGTAGAAAACAAAGTTTTGGAAAGTAAAAGCAAATGCTGACCCATGAACATTTCTGGCACAATTCAGCTTCAGGACAATCAATACTGTTCCTTAAATGCTGCACGGAAAGAGAAATGTTGGTTGGAAAAAATACAAAGACATCAATGGGAACTGTGCCATCATGGCGTTCTGTTAGAAATCAAACACAACAAGTTGACACCTGCATGAATGTATGGACGGAATCATTTCTTGAATATCACAGAGAAAACACAACTAGATTTACAACAATCCTACATGACTGAAGTACTAATACTGTGTCAGACTAGGTACATAATACTGTAATACTGCTACAGTTGTAACACTTAACTTGTGTGTTTCAACAACACTTTCTCCAGGCAACTTTCAACCATCACAACTAATTATCACAACTTACTGAAAACCTAAAGAAGAAATTATGCAAAACCTTTCAATTTTCTTTCAATTTAACTAACCCTTCGAAGGACAAAAACACTACATGATTACCCAGGGTCACCCTGAGTGTTTGTATCCCTAATGATTATGAAGAATTACTAATCTATCAATCTCTCTGCACCTACATTGTATATGTCACCGTATCACGTCATGTCACTCCTTTGAAAACAACGAAAGCTCTAGAAATAATAAACAACCAGTAGATGGGGTATTGTGTCATGCTCCTGTAGTGAGCATACATCACTAACTTTTGTTCCCAGGCAGTAGACTCTGGCTTCATTCGTGGAATTATTTCTCCTCTAAATTACAAAGAAAGTTTCTATGACTGGACACATCCTTCGAAAATGTAATGATTTAATTATTTCTTCATTAGTATATCTGTCCTCAGTCTAGAGGACCAGCTGCCAGGGATATCACACTAGCTCTACTGGAGCCAAGAATCAAAATCTGAAACATGAAAACAAATACTCAGTGGTATAATACCATCATTGTTATATATTTCTTAAACATATTGCATAAATTCTACAAGTGTACTCACACAGAACAATCATGGAGTGACTCCATTCAACTAAAAACTAACAGCCTGTGTCATCTGTATAGGGTAGGATGAATCTCAGCCCTGTAGACTTCTCAATGAGAGTCACATATCACACAGGTGCAACCGAGACATGGCTGTCAGTGCATGGCACATCACAGCATCACAGACACAGGTAGTCACAGAATCTCAGTTAGATCAGAGAGTCACATATACAGAAAGTCGCAGCACCAGTCACAGCACCACAGTCACAGACACAGGTAGTTACAGAATCTCAACACCAGATCAGAGAGTCACAGTACAGACAGTCACAGCAGTCACAGCACCACAGTCACACACAGGTAGTCACAGAATCTCAGTTAGATCAGAGTCACATATACAGACAGTCGCAGCACCACAGTCACAGACAGACAGGTCACAGTTACAGAATCTCAGTCACCAGATCAGAGTCACATATACAGAAACAGTCCAGTCACAGCACCACAGTCACACACAGGTAGTCACAGAATCTCAGTCAGATCAGAGTCACATATACAGACAGTCGCAGCACCACAGTCACAGACACAGGTAGTCACAGAATCTCAGTCAGATCAGAGTACAGACAGTCGCATACACCACAGTCACACACAGGTAGTCACAGAATCTCATCACAGTCACATATACAGACAGTCAGCCCAACACCACAGTCACAGAATCTCAGTTAGATCAGAGTCACATATACAGACAGTACAGCAGCACCACAGTCACAGACACAGGTAGTCACAGAATCTCAGTCAGATCAGAGAGTCACATATACAGAAAGTCGCAGCACCACAGTCACAGACACAGGTAGTCACAGAATCTCAGTCAGATCAGAGTCACATATACAGACAGTCACAGCAGTCAGATCACAGTCACAGACACAGGTAGTCTAACAGCACAGAATCATCAGGATCAGAGTAACATATTACAGACAGTCAGTCACAGCACCACAGTCACAGACACAGGTAGTTACAGAATCTCAGATCAGAGATCAGAGTCACATATACAGACAGTCACATATACAGCAGCACCACAGTCACAGACACAGGTAGTTACAGAATCTCAGTCAGATCAGAGTCACATATACAGAAAGTCGCAGCACCACAGTCACAGACACAGGTAGTTACAGAATCTCAGTCAGATCAGAGTCACATATACAGAAAGTCGCAGCACCACAGTCACAGACACAGGTAGTTACAGAATCTCAGTCAGATCAGAGAGTCACATATACAGATCAGAGTCACATATACAGACAGTGGCAGCACCACAGTCACAGACACAGGTAGTTACAGAATCTCAGTTAGATCAGAGTAACATATTACAGACAGTCGCAGCACCACAGTCACAGACACAGGTAGTCACAGAATCTCGGATCAGAGTAACATATTACAGACAGTCGCAACACCACAGTCAGTCAGACAGAGTCACATATACAGAGTCACATATACAGCAGCACCACAGTCACAGACACAGGTAGTCACAGAATCTCAGATCAGAGTCACATATACAGACAGTCGCAGCACCACAGTCACAGACACAGGTAGTCACAGTCAGTTAGATCAGAGAGTCACATATACAGAAAGTCGCAGCACCACAGTCACAGACACAGGTAGTTACAGAATCTCAGTTAGATCAGAGTCACATATACAGAAAGTCGCAGCACCACAGTCACAGACACAGGTAGTCACAGAATCTCAGTTAGATCAGAGAGTCACATATACAGAAAGTCGCAGCACCACAGTCACAGACACAGGTAGTCACAGAATCTCAGTTAGATCAGAGAGTCACATATACAGAAAGTCGCAGCACCACAGTCACAGACACAGGTAGTCACAGAATCTCGGATCAGAGTAACATAATACAGACAGTCACATATACAGAGAGAATCTACAGTGCAGCACCACAGTCACAGACACAGGTAGTCACAGAATCTCAGTCAGTCACAGACACAGGTAGTTACAGAATCTCAGTCAGATCAGAGTAACATATTACAGACAGTCGCAACACCACAGTCACAGAATCTCAGTCAGATCAGAGTCACATATACAGACAGTGGCAGCACCACAATCACAGACACAGGTAGTCACAGAATCTCGGATCAGAGTAACATATTACAGACAGTCGCAACACCACAGTCACAGACACAGGTAGTTACAGAATCTCGGATCAGAGTCACATATTACAGACAGTCGCAACACCACAGTCACAGAATCTCAGTCAGATCAGAGTCACATATTACAGACAGTCGCAGCACCACAGTCACAGACACAGGTAGTTACAGAATCTCAGTCAGATCAGAGTCACATATACAGAAAGTCGCAGCACCACAGTCACAGACACAGGTAGTCACAGAATCTCAGTCAGATCAGAGTCACATATTACAGACAGTCGCAGCACCACAGTCACACCACAGTCACAGAATCTCAGTCAGATCAGAGTCACATATACAGACAGTGGCAGCACCACAGTCACAGACACAGGTAGTTACAGAATCTCGGATCAGAGTAACATATTACAGACAGTCGCAGCACCACAGTCACAGACACAGGTAGTCACAGAATCTCAGTTAGATCAGAGAGTCACATATACAGAAAGTCGCAGCACCACAGTCACAGACACAGGTAGTTACAGAATCTCAGTCAGATCAGAGTCACATATACAGACAGATCAGTCACATATACAGCAGCACCACAGTCACAGACACAGGTAGTCAGAATCTCAGTCAGATCAGAGTCACATATACAGAGTCAGCAGCACCACAGTCAGACACAGGTAGTCACAGAAGGTCTACAGAATCACATATTACAGACAGTGGCAGCACCACAGTCACAGAATCTCAGTCAGATCAGAGTCACATATTACAGACAGTCGCAGCACCACAGTCACAGACACAGGTAGTTACAGAATCTCAGTCAGATCAGAGTCACATATACAGACAGTGGCAGCACCACAGTCACAGACACAGGTAGTTACAGAATCTCAGATCAGAGTAACATATTACAGACAGTCGCAACACCACAGTCACAGAATCTCAGTCAGATCAGAGTCACATATACAGACAGTCGCAGCACCACAGTCACAGACACAGGTAGTCACAGAATCTCAGTCAGATCAGAGTCACATATTACAGACAGTCACAACACCACAGTCACAGAATCTCAGTCAGATCAGAGTCACATATTATACAGACAGTGGCAGCACCACAGTCACAGACACAGGTAGTTACAGAATCTCGGATCAGAGTAACATATTACAGACAGTCCAGCACCACAGTCACAGACACATGTAGTCACAGAATCTCGGATCAGAGTAACATATTACAGACAGTCGCACACCACACCACAGTCACAGAATCTCAGTCAGATCAAAGTCACATATACAGACAGTGGCAGCACCACAATCACAGACACAGGTAGTTACAGAATCTCGGATCAGAGTAACATATTACAGACAGTCCCAGCACCACAGTCACAGACACATGTAGTCACAGAATCACGGATCAGAGTAACATATTACAGACAGTCGCAGCACCACAGTAACAGACACAGGTAGTTACAGAATCTCGGATCAGAGTAACATATTACAGACAGTCGCAGCACCACAGTCACAGACACAGGTAGTCACAGAATCTCAGTTAGATCAGAGAGTCACATATACAGAAAGTCGCAGAACCACAGTCACAGACACAGGTAGTTACAGAATCTCAGTTAGATCAGAGAGTCACATATACAGAAAGTCGCAGCACCACAGTCACAGACACAGGTAGTCACAGAATCTCAGTCAGATCAGAGTCACATATTACAGACAGTCACAACACCACAGTCACAGAATCTCAGTCAGATCAGAGTCAAATATACAGACAGTGGCAGCACCACAATCACAGACACAGGTAGTTACAGAATCTCGGATCAGAGTAACATATTACAGACAGTCCCAGCACCACAGTCACAGACACATGTAGTCACAGAATCTTGGATCAGAGTAACATATTACAGACAGTCGCAACACCACAGTCACAGAATTTCAGTCAGATCAGAGTCACATATTACAGACAGTCACAACACCACAGTCACAGACACAGGTAGTTAAAGAATATCGGATCAGAGTAACATATTACAGAAAGTCGCAGCACCACAGTCACAGACACAGGTAGTTACAGAATCTCAGTCAGATCAGAGTCACATATTACAGACAGTCGCAGCACCACAGTCACAGACACAGGTAGTCACAGAATCTCAGGTAGATCAGAGAGTCACATATACAGAAAGTCGCAGCACCACAGTCACAGACACAGGTAGTTACAGAATCTCAGTCAGATCAGAGTCACATATACAGAAAGTCGCAGCACCACAGTCACAGACACAGGTAGTTACAGAATCTCAGTCAGATCAGAGAGTCACATATTACAGACAGTCGCAGCACCACAGTCACAGACACAGGTAGTCACAGAATCTCAGTTAGATCAGAGAGTCACATATACAGAAAGTCGCAGCACCACAGTCACAGACACAGGTAGTCACAGAATCTCAGTCAGATCAGAGTCACATATTACAGACAGTCGCAACACCACAGTCACAGAATCTCAGTCAGATCAGAGTCACATATACAGACAGTGGCAGCACCACAGTCACAGACACAGGTAGTTACAGAATCTCGGATCAGAGTAACATATTACAGACAGTCGCAACACCACAGTCACAGAATCTCAGTCAGATCAGAGTCACATATACAGACAGTGGCAGCACCACAGTCACAGACACAGGTAGTCACAGAATATCAGTTAGATCAGAGAGTCACATATACAGAAAGTCGCAGCACCACAGTCACAGACACAGGTAGTCACAGAATCTCAGTCAGATCAGAGAGTCACATATACAGACAGTCCCAGCACCACAGTCACAGACACAGGTAGTCACAGAATCTCAGTCAGATCAGAGTCACATATTACAGACAGTCGCAACACCACAGTCACAGACACAGGTGGTCACAGAATATCAGTCAGATCAGAGTCACATATACAGACAGTCGCAGCACCACAGTCACAGACACAGGTAGTTACAGAATATCAGTCAGATCAGAGTCACATATACAGACAGTCGCAGCATCACAGACACAGACACAGGTAGTTACAGAATCTCAGTCAGATCAGAGTCACATATACAGACAGTCGCAGCACCTCAGTCACAGACACAGGTAGTCACAGAATATCAGTCAGATCAGAGTCACATATACAGACAGTCGCAGCATCACAGACACAGGTAGTTGCAGAATCTCAGTAATATCAGAGAGTGACAGATTTAGGTAGTGAGTGCATCACAGTTAGATCAGAGAGTCATCAGGTAGTCACAGCATCACAGGACATACCCAGCCTTAGGCCTAACACTATAGGTACTACAGGTACATGTTGTCAATGTATGTCAGCTAGAGGACGCAACAGTGTCGACACTGAAAGCATCACAACTCCAGAAATACAAGCACTAAACAGATTCTCATGTACTTCAAAGATGCTGTACATGCATTTGGTTTTCTGCTCTGGAAACAACTGCATTTCATGGAATAAACTGCCCTTGATTTAGATATGGAAGTAATATTAGCATTGGTGAGGCCATTGTTTGTTGTGTTCAAGTAACACAGTGCATAGATGGAGTTACAGAGGTTAGCCAGTGACACAATCACACAACCGATCGATCATACCTTGGAGGCAGTGAAAATAACACTTACAAGTTACATTTACACAGATTACAAGTACAACTTTGGAAATGATGTCGAGCATGACCTATCTTGAGCAATATGGCAAGCTAACAAAATCAAACATAAAAAGGTTGTTACAGTTGCTTTGATGTCCATTCCTCTCACTAGAAAAATTACAAATGAAAAATATACTCTTTCAAATAAACAAATTTACAATCAAACCACAATTGTAATATATATCTTTTTAACATTCTCAAAATGAAGGATTGGCATGAAAATTTTGTTTGACAAATTAAAAATGTAAAATTAAGTCAAGCTAGTTCTTATTTTCTAAAAGGATCATAAATAGTAAATATATAATAAAGGGAAGAATTTCACATCTAAAAGATATGAAAAAGATATGAACAGAGAATTTCAGGACAGAGTGTTGACTAAGTCTGCAAGAAGAGAGAACTCATGGCTTCAACCTTCTGGATCATATAACATCCTGGCTGTCTCACAGGCCCATTAGAGTTATCCCCCTTTGACTATAAAGCAAGACGGTTTGCTTTCAAACATGAGGAAATATAGTGTAACATAACATGTATTATTGAATTTTGACTGTGATTTAGTGAGTATGGTTATACTTTAAGTGAATTGATTGCAATTCTCTGGTGATGAACACAAGATTTGAGCCGTTTACTGCAGTAGTCTGCATCTTGACAGCTATAGTGCTGTAGGTTTGGACTAGAATATGACATGAATGAACCAGGTCACCAAACCTGACCACCCAGTCTATAATTGTCACCTCTGCAGACAAGCACAGGTAGCCTGAGACAACGTCCCTCCTGGGAATAATCAAGGTTCATACACAATACATCTCTAATCTATGCAAATGAAGAAAGAAGAAAGCCAAGGTCAAACAGATCATAGCAGCAGGTGACTCACACTACCAGCGTATAATACTCACCCCAGTTTGTCAGTAATTTCAGCTATTCGGTCGTTTATGTCATCTTTGCCAGATTCTTTTGCTTTTCTGTTCAACCAATAACCTTTCTTCAATCAATAACCTTTCCAGCATACACTACTGCATTGTTTTGTACTATACTAGCAAACAAAGCAAACATATAGCCCTTGCTACCACAGGTAGTTGTACCTGCCACCCCTTTAAATCACCAACAGTGTCTTGTACCTAACCCACTCCTCCCAACCCTCCACCTATCTCTACCACAAGTAGTGTCTTATGATTCTTCTTCCACCTTAAACCACCAACAGTGTCTTGTACCTAACCCACTCCTCCCAACCCTCCACCTATCTCTACCACAAGTAGTGTCTTATGATTGTTCTTCCACCTTAAACCACCAACAGTGTCTTGTACCTAGCCCACTCCTCCCAACCCTCCACCTATCTCTACCACAAGTAGTGTCTTCTAATTGTTCTTCCATCTTAAACCACCAACAGTGTCTTGTACCTAACCCACTCCTCCCAACCCTCCACCTATCTCTACCACAAGTAGTGTCTTATGATTGTTCTTCCACCTTAAACCACCAACAGTGTCTTGTACCTAACCCACTTGCCCCAACCCTCCACCTATCTCTACCACAAGTAGTGTCTTCTAATTGTTCTTCCACCTTAAACCACCAACAGTGTCTTGTACCTAGCCCACTCCTCCCAACCCTCCACCTATCTCTACCACAAGTAGTGTCTTCTAATTGTTCTTCCATCTTTAAACTACCAACAGTGTCTTGTACCTAACCCACTTCTCCCAACCCTCCACCTATCTCTACCACAAGTAGTGTCTTATGATTGTTCTTCCACCTTAAACCACCAACAGTGTCTTGTACCTAACCCACTTGCCCCAACCCTCCACCTATCTCTACCACAAGTAGCGTCTTCTAATTGTTCTTCCACCTTAAACCACCAACAGTGTCTTGTACCTAGCCCACTCCTCCCAACCCTACACCTATCTCTACCACAAGTAGCGTCTTCTAATTGTTCTTCCACCGTAAACTACCAACAGTGTCTTGTACCTAACCCACTTGCCCCAACCCTCCACCTATCTCTACCACAAGTAGTGTCTTATGATTGTTCTTCCACCTTAAACCACCAACAGTGTCTTGTACCTAGCCCACTCCTCCCAACCCTCCACCTATCTCTACCACAAGTAGTGTGTCTTCTAATTGTTCTTCCACCTTAAACCACCAACAGTGTCTTGTACCTAGCCCACTCCTCCCAACCCTACACCTATCTCTACCACAAGTAGTGTCTTATGATTGTTCCTCCACCTTAAACCACCAACAGTGTCTTGTACCTAACCCACTTGCCCCAACCCTCCGTCTATCTCTACCACAAGTAGTGTCTTCTAATTGTTCTTCCACCTTAAACCACCAACAGTGTCTTGTACCTAACCCACTTGCCCCAACCCTCCACCTATCTCTACCACAAGTAGTGTCTTCTAATTGTTCTTCCACCTTAAACCACCAACAATGTCTTGTACCTAGCCCACTTGCCCCAACCCTCCACCTATCTCTACCACAAGTAGTGTCTTATGATTCTTCTTCCACCTTAAACCACCAACAGTGTCTTGTACCTAACCCACTTGCCCCAACCCTCCACCTATCTCTACCACAAGTAGTGTCTCTATTGTTCTTCCACCTTAAACCACCAACAGTGTCTTGTACCTAGCCCACTTCCCCCAACCTCCACCTATCTCTACCACAAGTAGTGTCTTATGATTGTTCTTCCATCTTAAACCACCAACAGTGTCTTGTACCTAACCCACTCCTCCCAACCCTCCACCTATCTCTACCACAAGTAGTGTCTTATGATTGTTCTTCCACCTTAAACCACCAACAGAGTCTTGTACCTAGCCCACTCCTCCCAACCCTCCACCTATCTCTACCACAAGTAGTGTCTTATGATTGTTCTTCCACCTTAAACCACCAATAGAGTCTTGTACCTAGCCCACTCCTCCCAACCCTCCACCTATCTCTACCACAAGTAGTGTCTTATGATTGTTCTTCCACCTTAAACCACAAACAGTGTCTTGTACCTAACCCACTTGCCCCAACCCTCCACCTATCTCTACCACAAGTAGCGTCTTCTAATTGTTCTTCCACCTTAAACCACCAACAGTGTCTTGTACCTAGCCCACTCCTCCCAACCCTCTACCACAAGTAGTGTCTTCTAATTGTTCTTCCACCTTAAACCACCAACAGTGTCTTGTACCTAGCCCACTCCTCCCAACCCTCCACCTATCTCTACCACAAGTAGTGTCTTATGATTGTTCTTCCACCTTAAACCACCAACAGTGTCTTGTACCTAACCCACTTGCCCCAACCCTCCACCTATCTCTACCACAAGTAGTGTCTTCTAATTGTTCTTCCACCTTAAACCACCAACAGTGTCTTGTACCTAGCCCACTCCTCCCAACCCTCCACCTATCTCTACCACAAGTAGTGTCTTATGATTCTTCTTCCACCGTAAACCACCAACAGTGTCTTGTACCTAACCCACTCCTCCCAACCCTCCACCTATCTCTACCACAAGTAGTGTCTTATGATTGTTCTTCCACCTTAAACCACCAATAGAGTCTTGTACCTAGCCCACTCCTCCCAACCCTCCACCTATCTCTACCACAAGTAGTGTCTTATGATTCTTCTTCCACCTTAAACCACCAACAGTGTCTTGTACCTAGCCCACTCCTCCCAACCCTCCACCTATCTCTACCACAAGTAGTGTCTTATGATTGTTCTTCCACCTTAAACCACCAACAGAGTCTTGTACCTAGCCCACTCCTCCCAACCCTCCACCTATCTCTACCACAAGTAGTGTCTTCTAATTGTTCTTCCACCGTAAACCACCAACAGTGTCTTGTACCTAGCCCACTCCTCCCAACCCTCCACCTATCTCTACCACAAGTAGTGTCTTATGATTGTTCTTCCACCTTAAACCACCAACAGTGTCTTGTACCTAACCCACTTGCCCCAACCCTCCACCTATCTCTACCACAAGTAGTGTCTTCTAATTGTTCTTCCACCTTAAACCACCAACAGTGTCTTGTACCTAGCCCACTCCTCCCAACCCTCCACCTATCTCTACCACAAGTAGTGTCTTATGATTGTTCTTCCACCGTAAACCACCAACAGTGTCTTGTACCTAACCCACTCCTCCCAACCCTCCACCTATCTCTACCACAAGTAGTGTCTTATGATTGTTCTTTCTTAAACCACCAGAGTAAACCACCTAACCCACTGTCTTGTACCTCCACCTATCTCTACCACAAGTAGTGTCCACTAATTGTTCTTCCACCTTAAAGTAGTGTCTTATGAGCCCACTCCTCCCAACCTTCCACCAATCTAAACCACAAGTAGTGTCTTACATTGTTCTTGTACACCAACAGTGTCCACTCCTCCCAACTCCTCCCTCCACCTACCTATCTACCACAAGTAGTGTCTTATGATTGTTCTTCCACCTTAAACCACCAATAGAGTCTTGTACCTAGCCCACTCCTCCCAACCCTCCACCTATCTCTACCACAAGTAGTGTCTTATGATTGTTCTTCCACCTTAAACCACCAACAGTGTCTTGTACCTAGCCCACTTGCCCCAACCCTCCACCTATCTCTACCACAAGTAGTGGCGTGGTGGGCGAACTGGCTAAAGCGCCAGGCTAGTGATCCAGCGAGATTGAGGTGCCGGGATCGAGCCCACCTGTGACCGGGTGTAAAAACCTTGGAGTCAACTTTGTGTGCAGACTCTTTTAGTGTTGTCACAACCCCTAGTGTACGGTACACAACCCTGTGCACTTAAAAGAACCCACGAATCCGTTGGTATATGACCAGATGGTGGCCACATGAATACGTGCAAACACCCAGTTGCGGGTACAGCAACGTGCAGTAAACATGGACAAAGTACTGTGACTATGTGTCCCAGTCCACCCAGCTGTAAAAATGGGTACCTCGTAAGGATGGGAATGCCACACTAACTCGGTGCGCCTAGTAGGCTGCAAGAGTTGTATGCTCCCCAGGGAGTTGAGATTGACAATACGATGTGCCGTTGAGATTGACATCCAGTGAACGAGGGAAAAACAAAGCGCCTTTGAGCAGCTGAGCTGAGCTGGATATCGGCGCTATACAAATGCTAGCATAATAATAATAAAAAGTAGTGTCTTATGATTGTTCTTCCACCTTAAACCACCAACAGTGTCTTGTACCTAACCCACTTGCCCCAACCCTCCACCTATCTCTACCACAAGTAGTGTCTTCTAATTGTTCTTCCACCTTAAACCACCAACAGTGTCTTGTACCTAGCCCACTTGCCCCAACCCTCCACCTATCTCTACCACAAGTAGTGTCTTATGATTCTTCTTCCACCTTAAACCACCAACAGTGTCTTGTACCTAGCCCACTCCTCCCAACCCTCCACCTATCTCTACCACAAGTAGTGTCTTATGATTGTTCTTCCACCTTAAACCACCAACATTGTCTTGTACCTAACCCACTCCTCCCAACCCTCCACCTATCTCTACCACAAGTAGTGTCTTATGATTGTTCTTCCATCTTAAACCACCAACAGTGACTTGTACCTAACCCACTGTCTCCCAACCCTCCACCTATCTCTACCACAAGTAGTGTCTTCTAATTGTTCTTCCACCTTAAACCACCAACAGTGTCTTGTACCTAGCCCACTCCTCCCAACCCTCTACCACAAGTAGTGTCTTCTAATTGTTCTTCCACCTTAAACCACCAACAGTGTCTTGTACCTAGCCCACTCCTCCCAACCCTCCACCTATCTCTACCACAAGTAGTGTCTTATGATTGTTCTTCCACCTTAAACCACCAACAGTGTCTTGTACCTAACCAAATTGCCCCAACCCTCCACCTATCTCTACCACAAGTAGTGTCTTCTAATTGTTCTTCCACCTTAAACCACCAACAGTGTCTTGTACCTAGCCCACTCCTCCCAACCCTCCACCTATCTCTACCACAAGTAGTGTCTTATGATTGTTCTTCCACCGTAAACCACCAACAGTGTCTTGTACCTAACCCACTCCTCCTCCTAACCCTCCACCTATCTCTACCACAAGTAGTGTCTTATGATTGTTCTTCCACCTTAAACCACCAATAGAGTCTTGTACCTAGCCCACTCCTCCCAACCCTCCACCTATCTCTACCACAAGTAGTGTCTTCTAATTGTTCTTCCACCTTAAACCACCAACAGTGTCTTGTACCTAGCCCACTCCTCCCAACCCTCCTCCACCAATCTCTACCACAAGTAGTGTCTTATGATTGTTCTTCCACCGTGAAACCACCAACAGTGTCTTGTACCTAACCCACTCCTCCCAACCCTCCACCTATCTCTACCACAAGTAGTGTCTTATGATTGTTCTTCCACCTTAAACCACCAATAGAGTCTTGTACCTAGCCCACTCCTCCCAACCCTCCACCTATCTCTACCACAAGTAGTGTCTTATGATTCTTCTTCCACCTTAAACCACCAACAGTGTCTTGTACCTAGCCCACTCCTCCCAACCCTCCACCTATCTCTACCACAAGTAGTGTCTTATGATTGTTCTTCCACCTTAAACCACCAACAGTGTCTTGTACCTAACCCACTCCTCCCAACCCTCCACCTATCTCTACCACTAGTAGTGTCTTCTAATTGTTCTTCCACCTTAAACTACCAACAGTGTCTTGTACCTAACCCACTCCTCCCAACCCTCCACCTATCTCTACCACAAGTAGTGTCTTCTAATTGTTCTTCCACCTTAAACCACCAACAGTGTCTTGTACCTAACCCACTCCTCCCAACCCTCCACCTATCTCTACCACAAGTAGTGTCTTCTAATTGTTCTTCCACCTTAAACTACCAACAGTGTCTTGTACCTAACCCACTTGCCCCAACCCTCTACCTATCTCTACCACAAGTAGTGTCTTATGATTGTTCTTCCACCTTAAACCACCAACAGTGTCTTGTACCTAGCCCACTTGCCCCAACCCTCCACCTATCTCTACCACAAGTAGTGTCTTCTAATTGTTCTTCCACCTTAAACCATCAACACAGTTTATTACCAGTCCCCCTCCTTATATTTGCCCCATCACCAGGATGTGTGTGTAAAATGTGGACAATAAAGTCTGTGGCAACCAGTATGAGTATCTCTTTTGTCAAGTAATACAGAACACTCATGTTCCAGCTTCAGAGGTCTAGCAAGCCCAACCTTGCCAACTTCAGAGCAATCAGAAAATGCCATATATCTTATCAACTGGTAATCATATTAATTTCCAATGTATTAGTGTCTTACCCAAACAAGATATTAGATCACATTACATGCACACTAATACATAGTCCATAGCTTCTTTATATTTACCACTTGATCAGTTTAGTGGATGTTAACCAGAAGCATGCAAGAATCACCCAAAATAGGCATTACATACACAAACTGTTGGAATAATAACTGCATATCATCTGGAATCTGCCTATGAAGCTAGCAATGCACCTAACTATTAATGACCAGATCAGATGTATAATAGCCAACAGACAGAATAATACTTACAGCTGTAGTTGGTACCAGGACTTTGCGAGAGTAGCCTGCTTTCAAGTTTGACTCTCTCCCTCCGTCAAGCTCATCAATCAGTTTTGTTGTTACACGCCGAGCACTGGATGACCTTCCATACACTGGTTTGCGGTGACCTGACTTGGTTTCTATGGCAGCATTGTTGCTAGGTGACAGTTTAGTTGGAGGTGAATGAGACCGGCCATATCTCTGTAGGACAGGGCTACAGCTTCTCTCTCGCAAATGGTTAAAATGTTCCGTCTTCCCATTTTTTAGGATCCCTTTCTTAGAACTTGGACTCACACTCTTCCTGTGACGCATGTCATAAACTGAATTATGGGACACATTGAGTCGGTCTGATGACTCCTTCCGATCATGGTGAGGTTGTCGCAATGTCTCCTGCATGCTCTGAGACATCCTCTCTGTAACGTCTGTGCCTGGGCGCTGGTAGCTGGTGGATGTGGATTCAACAACTGTCTCTACCATGTCTCTTCCTGTTCCATAATTCTGACTAGATTCATATCGATTCAAATCGTCAGTGTAGTTGTCTCCATGAAGACTATCTCGATTCTGCCTTTGAAGTAAATTCTCTCTGAAACTTCCATTTTCCCCAAATCCCTTTCTTGAAATCCTGTACGAGTCTTCTGCATCATAATCAGAATAACTGAGTTTGGTTGGATACTGCTGCAGATCTGAGTAGTCAACAAATGGAATAGGGGACAGCCTGTGATCTAGGGCCTCTCTCTGCTTGTCTCGGTAATACTGGACTTTCCGGTGTGGGTAGATCTCCCGGAATGATGATGGCACACCCGGAGACTGCATCAGTTCCTCAGTGCTGTAACCTGTGTCTTTACTATCAAGCGTACTCGACATGTTCAGTGAAGAGTTGAGCTTCACAGGACTGGACTCCAGTTCATTGTTCCATGTACTTGTGCGTCGATGGACTCGCAATGAAGAGTCCATGTTTTCCTGACTCGGAGAGATGTAGTCATCAATCCTGGACCTTCTTGTAGGAGTATTACTCATGTCCAGCCTTGATGAACGACCCATACTTGAAGTCCGGGAACAGCTTGCACTTGAAGGTCGAGACGATGGTTGACTGCTTGTCCCTCTTCTCATTTCTCTCTCCACCTCATCGCAGGCTCCCTTCTCGGTGTAATGGCTTATGATGTCAGCTACCTTGGATTTCTGATTGCTGGCATGGAGGGCATTGATCTCGTCAAACAACTTGGACCTCTCCTGTCTCACTTCCTCCAAGCAGGTTCTCAACTCCTTGATGGTGCTCTGAGCCTTCTCCTGGTTAAACTGCATCTCTTCAAAGTCCTGAAAACATATTTACAACATATATTCAAATCAGTTTGAATTTGAAAGAAGGTGAATTAATAATGTACAAATAAATCTGCATTCAAATTTCTGTGACAATGAATACGGCTTCAAAACGGAAATGTTTCTTGTGCAAACCATGTGTCTCCTTAAAGTTCGAGCAGTAGCCCTTTATGTTTCCAACTTGTAAAGATACTGGATGATATAGTATCAGTTTTTCAGTTACTACACCCTTCATTATTTCAGGGGAGAAAAAAATAAATGCAATTTTCTGAAATCCAAGTAAGCTGTTTAAAATTAAAATATTAATAAATTGTCAAATGAGAAATACTCACCCGTCTGAAAGAATCATTTTGACTCTCCACTTGAGATAGATTCATCCTCAGACTTTGATTGACCTGTTTAAGGTCCTCTAGAGGTCTCAGTTCACCAAGGGCTTTGTTGAGCGCTGCACCTGTCTCTTGTAGTTCCATTCTCATCTGATCTGACTCAGCATGAGCCTTGAACACGCTGTCTTCCATGCCTTTCACTCTGGCCTGCAGCTCCTCAGACTTGTGCCGTGCATGCTCAAGGCTGCTACGAAGTTCCATATTCTCTGCTTGTGACTTAGACAGATGTCTCCGGCAATCATCAAGAACATCATTTGTCTTGAAAAGCTTTTCTGACACATCAGCTTTTGCATTCCTTAACTTGGCCTGCAAGATGTCATTTTCCACAATACAGCTAGCAAGCGCCTGTTTTAACTCAATGACATCTTCATCTGAAAGCTCCCTCATAGCAATGAGATTCTTCCATCTGTCTTGTCTCTCAGGTTCCAAGCCCTTCACAATGCTCAGCTTGTTACCCCAGATCTCCTGAGTGACACTTCTCACAGGACTGCTGTAGCCAAGACTAATGGACCTTGTCTGATCATCAGGGTCAACAGGTTGATGGCTCCCAGCTCGAGGACTATCCCCTGGTTCATGAAGGGCCATGCCTCCTCTCTGAAATCCTCGTACAGGAGACAATCTATCTCTTGTTGAAGGACCATGAGATGGTGAAGGTGGTCTTGCACTATACCGTGTCTGGTAGCTTTCATCCATATACATGGAGTCCATAGTGCCTGTGTATCTACTGGGACTGACTCGGTGTGAACTGTCAGGTACTGACCTCTCCATGTATCTGTCACTTGACCCATTAAATCTGTCGGGTGATATTCGATCTCTCAGTTTATTTTCTATATCTCTCTGTTTTTCTAGTGTAGGACTTAATGATCTGCTTCTTGTGTAGTCGGGACTATTCCTCCTTACTTCTCCCTCATACCTGCTTCCTGCCTGGGCAATCCTCCTTGGTAAATCTGGTGACTTTCTTTGTCTCGTATAAATGGGACTAAGTGATCTGCTTCTAGAAGACTCAAAAACCATTTGACCATTGTGTTCATGTATGTCACTGAACTGACTCAGAGGGTCAATTTTTGTCCCCGTTAACTGTAAAGTAGGGGTTCTTCTCCCCCCTCTAGAAGGGGATCTGGCAACTGGACTAGTTTGTCCTGCCTCACCAGAGCTCTCCATTGTTTCAATCTTGTATTTCAGTTCTTCTATCTCTTTACACAGTACCTCAATAAATTTGGCTTGAGCCAAAGAATCTATCCTGCTTCCATCAACAGGCAGCTCACTCCCTCCTTTGGATCTCTCCCAAGCTTCCCTGCGAGGCAGATGACAATAGCTGCTATCAGAGTCATACAGATGGTCATCGTCATGCAAGTCTGGCTTGTGTTCCAATACTCTGTGTGGAGAGACAATGTTTGGGGAGCCTAGTCGGGGGCTTGAAGCAGTATGTCTCCCTGGTGACCTTCGCAATGGAGACCTCCTTCTGACAGTTTCTGACCCTGAAACAGACAAATCCTGTAAATGTCTGCTGGATGGAGAAGTGTCATCATATTTAGCTTCTTCAGCAAGTCTTTGAGAGACAGCTGATTCATCTCTTCCTTCCGTGCTTGGGTCATAGACATCCTTAACCTTGGTCTGGTCTTTCTTGTCTGGGACCCTTCTACTTCGGAAACCTTCTTTCGGCATACTGTTGTCAACTGCAAGACGAGCTTTCTTTATGTTATCCAGTAGTGTAAGAACATCAGGAGGTTCACCTGATTTATTTAAAATATCCAACCTCTGAGGGTCTATACTGGACAGCAATGATTTGAGATTGGGAAACATAGGGTGAGACTGAAGATCACTGATTTTAGTTCCACTCATGCATGCCAAGTTAACATCAGAGGTAGATGCACTTTTCTCAGTACTGGCAGTAAGTTTTGATGATTGATTATCAGGTGTATATGTCCTTCTATCCTGTACCATACCATCTTGCCTGGCTTGCTTGTATTTCGTCATTGAATCTGGCTGACTGTGAGATTTGCTTCGAAACATATTCTCTGGGGTTCTTCCCCTTTCTCGATCCAACGAAGACTTGTATACAATACTATCACGTAAACTTTGTCTTGATTCATGGGATCTTGATCTTGACCTGGAACTTGATCGTGACCTTCCACTAAGACTCTCTAGGTCAAGGTCACTTTGGGATCTGGAAGACTGAATGAGATCTGATGAGCTTGAGGGTCCCTGAGAGAGCCTATCAAGTGTCTCCTCCCACTGCAGGAAGTAGTCCTTGGGTCTTTTGATCTTAACAACTCCAGACATTTTCTCAGTTCTACTATCAGTGATGTTCCCACTGTTTGGATTCAAGGAAGATCCGAGGGATGCTGGAAATGATTTTAGATTTTTGACGGTGCTTCCACCTGAGGAATATCTTGAAGCTTCTGGCTGCAAGTCATCTAGTCTGTGTGTCACAGTACCTGTATCCTTGTCCTCTTCATTCTCTGACTGGGGCATGTGTTCATACACTCTCTGACTGATTGTCTCCTTCAACATACTCTCTCCATCCGAGTTCAAGGAAATTGGACCATCATCATTTGGAGACTGATTAAGCCCATTTCTTTCACTATGGACTGACACAAGGGATGATGATGACATCCAGTCAGAAAGCTCTTCTGCAGATCCATGCTTCCTGGAAGAGAAAGCAGACAGACCTTTTCCAATACTGTTGGACTTGTATAAGGAAACTGACATCGGTTTAAAGATGTAATTTGACTGCTTCTTCTTCGTGTGGTCTGCCCTGCAGAGTTCACTGTCTGATGACACATATCTATCCTCCTCATTGTGGGCCTTGTATTGGGGGGTGGGGCTCTGGCTTCTCATGGCGTTGACCACCTCCAGGTTCATGCCTCCCGAGGGCTGCAACAACCCACAACAACATCAATAACCAAAAAGAAAAGAAAAAACTACCGATCTGGGACTAATCTTATAGTCAGATATACCATCAGTGGGTAAAACAATGTACTTGGACACCCATCCAAACATGTTTCTGAAACTTTGTAGGCATCAACTTTAACTGACGAACCAACTAAACTGTATGTATTGAGTTATGAAAGTGTGTCATGTACTGAAGTTAGTAGACATAATTGGTAAGTGATCACAGTGCAAATGTAATACAATTCTTCCGGAAAGAACTTGTATACAATTGTTATCTATATGATAATTCAGGAGGTATACACTCACCTTCGTAAATTTGGAAAATGCATTCAAGGTTTTGTTGTCTCCCCCAACCTGAAAACAAAACAGATACACATAAAATATTTACCTAAAACCACAGTTTGCTTTATGATTATATTCTACAGCCAGGTGAGGAAATACTGAGAAGAAACTCCCATGGTCATCTATATAAATGAACAATAGATAACCATAGCTCCACAGTATCTTCGACACTTTCAGCCGTGACAATATTTCATATATTTTAAGATGTACTTTTCTGACTGAAGATGTGTAAACACCAAGTAAAGTATCAAGCACAACAGGCATACATTTGTCCATGTATATTCTGTTGAACATGCAGTAAGTGTATAACATCTATGTAAGTACTTCTTGAGGAAACATGCAGAATGTGAAATTGTTGCTGAATTAATGTTCAAGTCCGAGGTGCCATCCGGTCAGTGGGTGTGAGCATCAGTACTCACCCCTCCTCCGGAGCAGGGCAACATAGATCATCAGTGTGTGTTCATCCACTGTCCCATCTATGATGTCTGCAGCGCTAAAACATCAGCAACATACCAAAAAAGATGAATACACAATGCCTCCCGGAAAGCGCTAAATGTAGCAAATGTTATATTTGTGATTACACATCCTGAGAAAAGCACACATTCTAGTACAACTTGTGCAGGTCTCGAACCCAGTCTCGCAGAGTGAGTCACGAAGTCAGAATTCTGACTGACTTAGCCACCGAGAAGTGTGACAGTTGGCAGTCTAGATGACGTATCTTGTGCAGCCCTAGAAGAAATCAGTGTAAATCAGAACACTCCCACGGCTGATAGCTATTGATACACAAGGAAAGTGGTCAAACTTAACACATGTTATATTTGGGATTACACTTTCCACATTAAGTACAAATTTTAGTATTCTGTGGGCTGAGTCCAGAGGAAAGTAACTGGGGACCAATATTACACACAAATGACTAATGTTCCCAGTGTCTTCCAGTCTTGGGACACATTTACACCCATCAGTTGAGCCTCATTAGTGAGTAGCTCAGTGTATGCTAACATGGTAGGGGTGAACAAGGATACCTGATGATATCTCTGCTGATATAATACTTGTATTCCACAGTGTCAAGGAGCTTCGTCAAGGCAGCAACTCGGTCCTGAAATGTCACAAGTTGACCTAATAATCGAAAGTACTAGTAAAAGACCTAATACTCTGTAGAGCACCTAATCTTGCCTGAGAAAGACATCACTGACATTTTAAAGGACTAAAGCATGTGTAAACAGAGAAAAGAATTTCTAATTTGAGACAAGGGTTTAAGTTTTCTCTTTAGAAATATGGTCCCTAATGCATAGTATTTTATCTAATGCAACCATGTTTAAGGCTCCAGAAACATATTTGACTGCGTTAGGACACTGGCCTGTAAACAACAAATGCTAGGTGGTGCTTGACATCATGATCAGCAAGGTGACCGTTCACTGTGACCACCCAGTGCTCCCTTTAGTCAGTCCTTATACATGCATGTGGTGGGACATATTCTGTCCAGCAGTTTCACTACATTTTGGCATGTCTACCTGGTCATCTGTAATGTCATCTCCGATGAACTTCTGCAACAGTTTGGAGAACCAGTTGCCTTGACACAAACTGAAACAGAAGACAGTCATTCTATCTGCAGTAACAGTCCAGTAGAAACACAAACCCTGACTACCATGTAGTGACAGTACAGTAGAAACACAAACTCTGATTACCATGTAGTGACAGTCCAGTAGAAACACAAACCCTGATTACCATGTAGTGACGGTCCAGTAGAAACACAAACCCTGATTACCATGTAGTGACAGTCCAGTAGAAACACAAACCCTGATTACCATGTAGTGACAGTACAGTAGAAACACAAACCCTGATTACCATGTAGTGACAGTACAGTAGAAACACAAACCCTGATTACCATGTAGTGACGGTCAAGTAGAAACACAAACCCTGATTACCATGTAATGACGGTCCAGTAGAAACACAAACCCTGATTACCATGTAGTGACGGTCCAGTAGAAACACAAACCCTGATTACCATGTAGTGACAGTCCAGTAGAAACACAAACCCTGATTACCATGTAGTGACAGTCCAGTAGAAACACAAACCCTGATTACCATGTAGTGACAGCTCAGTAGAAACACAAACCCTGATTACCATGTAGTGACAGTACAGTAGAAACACAAACCTTGATTATCATGTAGTGACAGTCCAGTAGAAACACAAACCCTGATTACCATGTAGTGACAGTCCAGTAGAAACACAAACCCTGATTACCATGTAGTGACAGTACAGTAGAAACACAAACCCTGATTACCATGTAGTGACAGTCCAGTAGAAACACAAACCCTGACAACCATGTAGTGACAGTACAGTAGAAACACAAACCCTGATTATCATGTAGTGACAGTCCAGTAGAAACACAAACCCTGACAACCATGTAGTGACAGTACAGTAGAAACACAAACCTTGATTATCATGTAGTGACAGTCCAGTAGAAACACAAACCCTGATTACCATGTAGTGACAGTACAGTAGAAACACAAACCCTGATTACCATGTAGTGGCAGTCCAGTAGAAACACAAACCCTGATTACCATGTAGTGACAGTCCAGTAGAAACACAAACCCTGATTACCATGTAGTGACAGTACAGTAGAAACACAAACCCTGACTACCATGTAGTGACAGTCCAGTAGAAACACAAACCCTGACTACCATGTAGTGACAGTCCAGTAGAAACACAAACCCTGATTACCATGTAGTGACAGTACAGTAGAAACACAAACCCTGACTACCATGTAGTGACAGTCCAGTAGAAACACAAACCCTGATTACCATGTAGTGACGGTCAAGTAGAAACACAAACCCTGATTACCATGTAATGACGGTCCAGTAGAAACACAAACCCTGATTACCATGTAGTGACAGTACAATAGAAACACAAACCCTGATTACCATGTAATGACGGTCCAGTAGAAACACAAACCCTGACTACCATGTAGTGACAGTACAGTAGAAACACAAACCCTGATTACCATGTAGTGGCAGTCCAGTCGAAACACAAACCCTGATTACCATGTAGTGACAGTACAGTAGAAACACAAACCCTGAGTACCATGTAGTGACAGTCCAGTAGAAACACAAACCCTGATTACCATGTAGTGACATGTAGTGACACAGTAGAAACACAAACCCTGATTACCATGTAGTGACGGTCCAGTAGAAACACAAACCCTGATTACCATGTAGTGACGGTCCAGTAGAAACACAAACCCTGATTACCATGTAGTGACAGTCCAGTAGAAACACAAACCCTGATTACCATGTAGTGAGGGTCCAGTAGAAACACAAACCCTGATTACCATGTAGTGACGGTCCAGTAGAAACACAAACCCTGATTACCATGTAGTGACAGTCCAGTAGAAACACAAACCCTGATTACCATGTAGTGACAGTCCAGTAGAAACACAAACCCTGATTACCATGTAGTGAGGGTCCAGTAGAAACACAAACCCTGATTACCATGTAGTGACAGTCCAGTAGAAACACAAACCCTGATTACCATGTAGTGACAGTCCAGTAGAAACACAAACCCTGATTACCATGTAGTGTAGATTACCATGTAGTGACGGGTCCAGTAGAAACACAAACCCTGATTACCATGTAGTGACGGTCCAGTAGAAACACAAACCCTGATTACCATGTAGTGACGGTCCAGTAGAAACACAAACCCTGATTACCATGTAGTGACAGTCCAGTAGAAACACAAACCCTGATTACAGTCCAGTAGAAACACAAATGTAGTGACGGTCCAGTAGAAACACAAACCCTGATTACCATGTAGTGACAGTCCAGTAGAAACACAAACCCTGATTACCATGTAGTGACAGTCCAGTAGAAACACAAACCCTGATTACCATGTAGTGACAGTCCAGTAGAAACACAAACCCTGATTACCATGTATGTAGTGACAGTCCAGTAGAAACACAAACCCTGATTACCATGTAGTGACAGTCCAGTAGAAACACAAACCCTGATTACCATGTAGTGACAGTCCAGTAGAAACACAAACCCTGATTACCATGTAGTGACAGTCCAGTAGAAACACAAACCCTGATTACCATGTAGTGACAGTCCAGTAGAAACACAAACCCTGATTACCATGTAGTGACAGTCCAGTAGAAACACAAACCCTGATTACCATGTAGTGACAGTCCAGTAGAAACACAAACCCTGATTACCATGTAGTGACAGTCCAGTAGAAACAGTAGAAACACAAACCCTGATTACCAGTGACGGTCCAGTAGAAACCCTGATTACTACCATGTAGTGACAGTCCAGTAGAAACACAAACCCTGATTACCATGTAGTGACAGTCCAGTAGAAACACAAACCCTGATTACCATGTAGTGACAGTCCAGTAGAAACACAAACCCTGATTACAGTGTAGTGACAGTCCAGTAGAAACACAAACCCTGATTACCATGTAGTGACAGTCCAGTAGAAACACAAACCCTGATTACCATGTAGTGACAGTCCAGTAGAAACACAAACCCTGATTACCATGTAGTGACAGTCCAGTAGAAACACAAACCCTGATTACCATGTAGTGACAGTACAGTAGAAACACAAACCCTGATTACCATGTAGTGACAGTCCAGTAGAAACACAAACCCTGATTACCATGTAGTGACAGTACAGTAGAAACACAAACCCTGATTACCATGTAGTGACAGTCCAGTAGAAACACAAACCCTGATTACCATGTAGTGACAGTCCAGTAGAAACACAAACCCTGATTACCATGTAGTGACAGTACAGTAGAAACACAAACCCTGATTACCATGTAGTGACAGTCCAGTAGAAACACAAACCCTGATTACCATGTAGTGACAGTCCAGTAGAAACACAAACCCTGACTACCATGTAGTGACAGTCCAGTAGAAACACAAACCCTGATTACCATGTAGTGACGGTCCAGTAGAAACACAAACCCTGATTACCATGTAGTGACAGTCCAGTAGAAACACAAACCCTGTATGTAGTGACAGTCCAGTAGAAACACAAACCCTGATTACCATGTAGTGACAGTCCAGTAGAAACACAAACCCTGATTACCATGTAGTGACGGTCCAGTAGAAACACAAACCCTGATTACCATGTAGTGACGGTCCAGTAGAAACACAAACCCTGATTACCATGTAGTGACAGTCCAGTAGAAACACAAACCCTGATTACCATGTAGTGACAGTCCAGTAGAAACACAAACCCTGATTACCATGTAGTGACAGTCCAGTAGAAACACAAACCCTGATTACCATGTAGTGACAGTCCAGTAGAAACACAAACCCTGATTACCATGTAGTGACAGTCCAGTAGAAACACAAACCCTGATTACCATGTAGTGACGGTCCAGTAGAAACACAAACCCTGATTACCATGTAGTGACGGTCCAGTAGAAACACAAACCCTGATTACCATGTAGTGACAGTCCAGTAGAAACACAAACCCTGATTACCATGTAGTGACAGTCCAGTAGAAACACAAACCCTGATTACCATGTAGTGACAGTCCAGTAGAAACACAAACCCTGATTACCATGTAGTGACAGTCCAGTAGAAACACAAACCCTGATTACCATGTAGTGACAGTACAGTAGAAACACAAACCCTGATTACCATGTAGTGACAGTCCAGTAGAAACACAAACCCTGATTACCATGTAGTGACGGTCCAGTAGAAACACAAACCCTGATTACCATGTAGTGACGGTCCAGTAGAAACACAAACCCTGATTACCATGTAGTGACAGTCCAGTAGAAACACAAACCCTGATTACCATGTAGTGACGGTCCAGTAGAAACACAAACCCTGATTACCATGTAGTGACAGTCCAGTAGAAACACAAACCCTGATTACCATGTAGTGACAGTCCAGTAGAAACACAAACCCTGATTACCATGTAGTGACAGTCCAGTAGAAACACAAACCCTGATTACCATGTAGTGACAGTCCAGTAGAAACACAAACCCTGATTACCATGTAGTGACAGTCCAGTAGAAACACAAACCCTGATTACCATGTAGTGACAAACCCTGTACCAGTAGAAACACAAACCCTGATTGATGTACCAGTAGAAACACAAACCCTGATTGTAGTGACAGTCCAGTAGAAACACAAACCCTGATTACCATGTAGTGACAGTCCAGTAGAAACACAAACCCTGATTACCATGTAGTGACAGTCCAGTAGAAACACAAACCCTGATTACCATGTAGTGACGGTCCAGTAGAAACACAAACCCTGATTACCATGTAGTGACAGTCCAGTAGAAACACAAACCCTGATTACCATGTAGTGACAGTCCAGTAGAAACACAAACCCTGATTACCATGTAGTGACAGTGACAGTAGAAACACAAACCCTGATTACCATGTAGTGACGGTCCAGTAGAAACACAAACCCTGATTACCATGTAGTGACAGTCCAGTAGAAACACAAACCCTGATTACCATGTAGTGACGGTCCAGTAGAAACACAAACCCTGATTTACCATGTAGTACCATGTAGTGACAGTCCAGTAGAAACACAAACCCTGATTACCATGTAGTGACAGTCCAGTAGAAACACACTGAAATGTAGTGACAGTACAGTCACAAACCCTGATTACCATGTAGTGACAGAAACACAAACCACAAGTTACCCAGTAGAAACACAAACCCTGATTACCATGTAGTGACAGTCCAGTAGAAACACAAACCCTGATTACCATGTAGTGACGGTCCAGTAGAAACACAAACCCTGATTACCATGTAGTGACAGTCCAGTAGAAACACAAACCCTGATTACCATGTAGTGACAGTCCAGTAGAAACACAAACCCTGATTACCATGTAGTGACAGTCCAGTAGAAACACAAACCCTGACTACCATGTAGTGACAGTCCAGTAGAAACACAAACCCTGATTACCATATACCCCAGTACTGGAGACTCTCCAGTAGAAACACAAACCCAGACCAAACAGCTTGCTGTGTTTCCAAAACACTCTTAGATAGCACCAGCATGTATTCTGGGCATGATTCTGGTCTATAAACCATGTGGTATATATATATCTGCATTTTACAGCAGAAAGGCTTGCACAATTTTCTTAGATGCCTGCTTCTACTTGGCTACTAGAACTTGTCAGCAGTTCAGCAACTCGTCAGTGTTAACTAAATATAAAGATTAACAGCAGTAGGCCAAACTTCCTATAATGTGCCTGAAACTTCAAAACAATGTCCGATGTTGTTGCTAGCACACAATGTAAAGAAGTGATGTCTGCTACCTTGTGGTCACAAAACAGGCTTGGGCTACAAGATACTGTTACATGTACAAATGATTAAGTACAGTTGACAGTGAAGAAGACTTCTGTTGTAAGATTACAGCCAAAATACAATATTTAAGGCAATGATTTAATAGAGGGTTATGTTTGCAGGAATTAGAGTGAACTAAGTAAGTCGTACTTGAAGGCAAATGTGTTCCTTGAATCAAACTGTGTTGCCAGCTCCATCTCACACCACTCCATGAGGTGCTTCTTGCCAATCCCCACACTGCGCTGATAGGCATTCTGATCTGTGACACAAGGGAGAGGGTAGAAACAGCATCCACACGATAATACTACAATATCACATGGTGGCCCTTCATTATATGGTGTGGGTATGACAGTGTTTGGTATGCATGTTGGGAGGGTGGTATGACAGTGTTTGGTATGCATGTTGGGAGGGTGGTATGACAGTGTTTGATATGCATGTTGGGAGAGTGGTATGACAGTGTTTGGTATGCATGTTGGGAGAGCAGTATGACAGTGTTTGGTATGCACGTTGGGAGGGTGGTATGACAGTGTTTGGTATGCACGTAGGGAGAGCGGTATAACAATGTTTGGTATGCACGTTGGGAGGGTAGTATGACAGTGTTTGGTATGCATGTTGGGAGGGTGGTATGACAGTGTTTGGTATGCATGTTGGGAGCGTGGTATGACAGTTTGGTATGCATGTTGGGAGGGTGGTATGATAGTGTTTGGTATGCACATTGGGAGGGTGGTATGACAGTGGTTGGTATGCATGTTGGGAGGATGGTATGACAGTGTTTGGTATGCATCTTGGGAGGATGGTATGACAGTGTTTGGTATGCACGTTGGGAGGGTGGTATGAGAGTGTTTGGTATGCATGTTGGGAGGGTGGTATGACAGTGTTTGGTATGCATGTTGGGAGAGCGGTATGACAGTGTTTGGTATGCACATTTGGAGGGTGGAATGACAGTGTTTGGTATGCATGTTGGGAGCGTGGTATGACAGTGTTTGGTATGCATCTTGCGAGGGTGGTATGACAGTGTTTGGTATGCATGTTGGGAGAGTGGTATGACAGTGTTTGGTATGCACGTTGGGAGGGTGGTATGACAGTGGTTGGTATGCATGTTGGGAGGATGGTATGACAGTGTTTGGTATGCATGACGTGTTTGGTAAGAGGGAGGATGGTATGACAGTGTTTGGTATATGCGCTTGAGGGTGGATGACAGTGTTTGGTATGCATGTTGGGAGAGTGGTATGACAGTGTTTGGTATGCATGTTGGGAGAGCGGTATGACAGTGTTTGGTATGCATGTTGGGAGAGCGGTATGACAGTGTTTGGTATGCATGTTGGGAGAGTGGTCTGACAGTGTGGTATATGATGTGTATGACAGTCTATTTCAACAACTATTTGATATGTGATAGTCTATTTCAACATACTGTTGAGGAGATAGTCTATTTCAACATACTATTGTGATAGTGATAGTCTATTTTGTGACATGCAGTCTATTTCAACATACTGATTAGATGGGATGATAGTCTATTTCAACATATTTCTATTGTGATAGTGATAGTCTATTTCAACATACTATTGTGATAGTGATAGTCTATTTCAACATACTATTGTGATAGTGATAGTCTATTTCAACATACTATTGTGATAGTGATAGTCTATTTCAACATACTATTGTGATAGTGATAGTCTATTTCAACATCAACATACTATTGTGATGATAGTCTATTTCAACAACATATAGATAGTGATAGTCTATTTCAACATACTATTGTGATAGTGATAGTCTATTTCAACATACTATTGTGATAGTGATAGTCTATTTCAACATACTATTGTGATAGGGATAGTCTATTTCAACATACTATTGTGATAGTGATAGTCTATTTCAACATACTATTGTGATAGTGATAGTCTATTTCAACATACTATTGTGATAGTGATAGTCTATTTCAACATACTATTGTGATAGTGTCTATTTCAACATACTATTGTGATAGTCTAGTCTATTTCAACATACTATTGTGATAGTGATAGTCTATTTCAACATACTATGATAGTCTATTTCAACATGATAGATGATAGTCTATTTCAACATACTATTGTGATAGTGATAGTCTATTTCAACATACTATTGTGATAGTGATAGTCTATTTCAACATACTATTGTGATAGTGATAGTCTATTTCAACATACTATTGTGATAGTGATAGTCTATTTCAACATACTATTGTGATAGTGATAGTCTATTTCAACATACTATTGTGATAGGGATAGCGATAGTCTATTTAGCAACATACTATTGTGATAGTGATAGTCGATAGTCTATTGTGATTGTGATGATAGTCTATTTCAACATACTATTGTGATAGTGATAGTCTATTTCAACATACTATTGTGATAGTGATAGTCTATTTCAACATACTATTGTGATAGTGATAGTCTATTTCAACATACTATTGTGATAGCGATAGTCTATTTCAACATACTATTGTGATAGCGATAGTCTATTTCAACATACTATTGTGATAGTGATAGTCTATTTCAACATACTATTGTGATGATAGATTTCAACATACTATTGTGATGTGATAGTCTATTTTTATTGTGATAGTGAAGTCTATTTACATACTATTGTGATAGCGATAGTCTATTTCAACATACTATTGTGATAGCGATAGTGTATTGCCCCAACTATTGCAATAGTTTTTTCTCTCCTTGAATTATCTCATTTCAAGTCAATTCCCAAATGAATTTTTAGTTTATATGAAATGAAAACAAGTTGAAGTAGTTTCAGTCTCTTTTAATAACTAACAAGAAACTTGAAACCCGGATCAAGGTAAACAGTTATAACATAAACTCAATGAAGCTGCAAGTCTGCACCCACACAAAAAATACAAAACATAAACATTTAATAAAAATAAAGTCAGTTTCTAAACTAGCGATAGTCACACACACTATTGGCGCATCGATATTTCTTTCGTTTTCTACCATCAATTAATTGTTATCGGAGACTCAACAATTGTAATCCATGGATAGTTTGATGCATCGCTACAGCCCTACATGTGTGTATGACAGTATGAGAGGTAGTCATACTGGCAGGAACACCTACCTATCTTGTGCAGACTGTAGTTGAGGATGATGAGCCACAGCACGTCCAGGAGGGACTTGATGTCCCCATCTAAGATGTCTGGAATGCAATGGACACATCACTGACATAGAAGTCACAATGAGGCAGTGCTTCTTACAATACTTCAGGATATTTGGACCTCCACTAACAATACTTCAGGATATTTGGACCTCCACAAGCAATACTCAACCTGCACTGTTAAGTATATTTGATTCCATGGCTTCTTACAATACTTCAGGATATTTGGACCTCCACAAACAATACTCACCCTGCACTGTAAAGGTATATTTGATTCCATGGCTTCTTACAATACTTCAGGATATTTGGACCTCCACAAACAATACTCAACCTGCACTGTTAAGTATTTTTGATTCCATGGCTTCTTACAATACTTCAGGATATTTGGACCTCCACAAACAATACTCACCCTGCACTGTTAAGTATATTTGATTCCATGGCTTCTTACAATACTTCAGGATATTTGGACCTCCACAAACAATACTCAACCTGCACTGTTAAGTATATTTGATTCCATGGCTTCTTACAATACTTCAGGATACTTGGACCTCCACAAACAATACTCACCCTGCACTGTAAAGGTATATTTGATTCCATGGTGTCGCATGTGATCCAGTGTTGCTTGTATCCATTGCTCTGGACTTGATTCCTCTGATGAGTTCTTCTGAAAGTGGTAATTTAAATTCTCTACTCAGAAATGTGAGGATTGTCTGACACATAAGTTTCAACACTCAAACTGGTTACTACAAACTGGGCAGCGGTGTCCACCAACCAGATGTACATGGCAGGTTGTACATGTTCCATACAGCAGTCTTCCGACACCATGCCTCTTTCACTGCAGAATGCTCTAACTCTCTACCACTGAATTCTATATGTCTCTTCAACTGAATTTACAAGTCTCTTCAACAGATGATTGGTTGGTTTGTTGGTTAACGCCACACTCAGCGATACTGCAGCTATATGGCAGCAGTCTATAAATAATCAAGTCTGGACCAGACAATCCAGTGATCAATAGCACTTTTCCACAGAATGCATAGAGCTAATAATCTTTCCTGATACAAACTTCAAGCCACACCTAAACACTTAAGCTGTTGCACTTACTTGGCAAAACATACAGAAAAAACATCACCACATTACTCAAAAGATAAATCCTTAATATATCTGTAAGTAAGTACAAGAAACACATCACTATAAGTCAGTGTCAGTAACATACAGGCTTATCCTACAATGAGACCAACAGGCAATACATGGACTCGATCAACTCCCCAACCAAACACAACACTATAAGTCAGTGTCAGTAACATACAGGCTTATCCTACAGTAAGACCAACAGGCAATACATGGACTCGATCAACTCCCCAACCAAACACAACACTATAAGTCAGTGTCAGTAACATACAGGCTTATCCTACAGTAAGACCAACAGGCAATACATGGACTCAATGAACTCCCCAACCAAACACAACACTATAAGTCAGTGTCAGTAACATACAGGCTTATCCTACAATAAGACCAACAGGCAATACATGGACTCGATCAACTCCCCAACCAAACACAACACTATAAGTCAGTGTCAGTAACATACAGGCTTATCCTACAATGAGACCAACAGGCAATACATGGACTCGATCAACTCCCCAACCAAACACAACACTATAAGTCAGTGTCAGTAACATACAGGCTTATCCTACAGTAAGACCAACAGGCAATACATGGACTCGATCAACTCCCCAACCAAACACAACACTATAAGTCAGTGTCAGTAACATACAGGCTTATCCTACAGTAAGACCAACAGGCAATACATGGACTCGATCAACTCCCCAACCAAACACAACACTATAAGTCAGTGTCAGTAACATACAGGCTTATCCTACAGTAAGACCAACAGGCAATACATGGACTCGATCAACTCCCCAACCAAACACAACACTATAAGTCAGTGTCAGTAACATACAGGCTTATCCTACAATAAGACCAACAGGCAATACATGGACTCAATGAACTCCCCAACCAAACACAACACTATAAGTCAGTGTCAGTAACATACAGGCTTATCCTACAGTAAGACCAACAGGCAATACATGGACTCGATCAACTCCCCAACCAAACACAACACTATAAGTCAGTGTCAGTAACATACAGGCTTATCCTACAATGAGACCAACAGGCAATACATGGACTCGATCAACTCCCCAACCAAACACAACACTATAAGTCAGTGTCAGTAACATACAGGCTTATCCTACAATGAGACCAACAGGCAATACATGGACTCGATCAACTCCCCAACCAAACACAACACTATAAGTCAGTGTCAGTAACATACAGGCTTATCCTACAATGAGACCAACAGGCAATACATGGACTCGATCAACTCCCCAACCAAAACACAACACTATAAGTCAGTGTCAGTAACATACAGGCTTATCCTACAATGAGACCAACAGGCAATACATGGACTCGATCAACTCCCCAACCAAACACAACACTATAAGTCAGTGTCAGTAACATACAGGATTATCCTACAGTAAGACCAACAGGCAATACATGGACTCGATCAACTCCCCAACCAAACACAACACTATAAGTCAGTGTCAGTAACATACAGGCTTATCCTACAATAAGACCAACAGGCAATACATGGACTCGATCAACTCCCCAACCAAACACAACACTATAAGTCAGTGTCAGTAACATACAGGCTTATCCTACAATGAGACCAACAGGCAATACATGGACTCGATCAACTCCCCAACCAAACACAACACTATAAGTCAGTGTCAGTAACATACAGGCTTATCCTACAAGTAAGACCAACAGGCAATACATGGACTCGATCAACTCCCCAACCAAACACAACACTATAAGTCAGTGTCAGTAACATACAGGCTTATCCTACAATGAGACCAACAGGCAATACATGGACTCGATCAACTCCCCAACCAAACACAACACTATAAGTCAGTGTCAGTAACATACAGGCTTATCCTACAATAAGACCAACAGGCAATACATGGACTCGATCAACTCCCCAACCAAACACAACACTATAAGTCAGTGTCAGTAACATACAGGATTATCCTACAGTAAGACCAACAGGCAATACATGGACTCGATCAACTCCCCAACCAAACACAACACTATAAGTCAGTGTCAGTAACATACAGGCTTATCCTACAATGAGACCAACAGGCAATACATGGACTCGATCAACTCCCCAACCAAACACAACACTATAAGTCAGTGTCAGTAACATACAGGCTTATCCTACAATGAGACCAACAGGCAATACATGGACTCGATCAACTCCCCAACCAAACACAACACTATAAGTCAGTGTCAGTAACATACAGGCTTATCCTACAATGAGACCAACAGGCAATACATGGACTCGATCAACTCCCCAACCAAACACAACACTATAAGTCAGTGTCAGTAACATACAGGATTATCCTACAATAAGACCAACAGGCAATACATGGACTCGATCAACTCCCCAACCAAACACAACACTATAAGTCAGTGTCAGTAACATACAGGCTTATCCTACAATGAGACCAACAGGCAATACATGGACTCGATCAACTCCCCAACCAAACACAACACTATAAGTCAGTGTCAGTAACATACAGGCTTATCCTACAATGAGACCAACAGGCAATACATGGACTCGATCAACTCCCCAACCAAACACAACACTATAAGTCAGTGTCAGTAACATACAGGCTTATCCTACAATGAGACCAACAGGCAATACATGGACTCGATCAACTCCCCAACCAAACACAACACTATAAGTCAGTGTCAGTAACATACAGGCTTATCCTACAGTAAGACCAACAGGCAATACATGGACTCGATCAACTCCCCAACCAAACACAACACTATAAGTCAGTGTCAGTAACATACAGGCTTATCCTACAATGAGACCAACAGGCAATACATGGACTCAATGAACTCCCCAACCAAACACAACACTATAAGTCAGTGTCAGTAACATACAGGATTATCCTACAATGAGACCAACAGGCAATACATGGACTCAATCAACTCCCCAACCAAACACAACACTATAAGTCAGTGTCAGTAACATACAGGATTATCCTACAATAAGACCAACAGGCAATACATGGACTCAATGAACTCCCCAACCAAACACAACACTATAAGTCAGTGTCAGTAACATACAGGCTTATCCTACAGTAAGACCAACAGGCAATACATGGACTCGATCAACTCCCCAACCAAACACAACACTATAAGTCAGTGTCAGTAACATACAGGCTTATCCTACAATGAGACCAACAGGCAATACATGGACTCGATCAACTCCCCAACCAAACACAACACTATAAGTCAGTGTCAGTAACATACAGGCTTATCCTACAATGAGACCAACAGGCAATACATGGACTCGATCAACTCCCCAACCAAACACAACACTATAAGTCAGTGTCAGTAACATACAGGCTTATCCTACAATGAGACCAACAGGCAATACATGGACTCGATCAACTCCCCAACCAAACACAACACTATAAGTCAGTGTCAGTAACATACAGGCTTATCCTACAGTAAGACCAACAGGCAATACATGGACTCGATCAACTCCCCAACCAAATACAAAAACCAGGAACAGTTGATGGGCATTAGGAACATACAAGTTTAATTATGCAGAACTAATCTCAAAACCACCTACAGCAAATAGCCTGCTCATATTTCCCCTTGAGAAATCAGATCAATGGTGCCTGAATGGGCTGGTAAGTTTGATAATTATCTCAGAGCATTTTGATTTGAGCTGTTCTTACAGCAGTTCATTCTGATAACAATCACAATTGACACCATTCTTGAAGAATGAAGTACACACACACTTTACCATGAAAGTACGAAGAAATATGTGAAACTTTTAAATGTAATTGTATCTGGGCGAAGGAATGTGTGCCAACCAAATTATATCCATAACTAAACTGATTCAATCTCTTGATTATTTTTATGAAATATTTGGAGATTCATTTTCTAATGTTTATAACACAACACTGCAATGATTAAAATGTTAGGTTTCTGTTATGTTGTCAAATCAGGATTAACATCACATTAACCTGAGAAATATCTAAATATGTTATAAAGGTCTTGCTTTATGAACCAGACTATACTTGCCTTCAGCTTATTCATGACACAAACACAGAACATACTTGTTGACATGCTGTATATTATTAGCAAGCACCTGTCATGCCTGTAGGTGTCGGGAGGTGTCAAGGCAAGTACGAATGCCTGGGTGCCTCTGAATAATGACAGCTCCACGTACATACCACTACCAATCCACACTCACTTCAACAAGCCACACAATGGCAGTGTAGATAAAGCAATCCTGCACTCCAGATAGAAATACAAACATTCACAGCCTTACACCCCTGTCTAAGAACTGCTCATTCACTGATCAACAGACCACATTCGGATTGCTTTGACTACCAGTGAACTGAAGTCCACTCCAGTCCAGAAATGATTAGTTGTAATCCTAGAATCAAGTTCCATTGTCCGACTGTGCACACATCAATAAACCTACACCGGCATGGCAATAAATCAGCAGACTGTGTCTCCAACATAACATAACTTTAACAGGCACATTTACTCTTAGACTTATCAGTAGTTTGTGGTGGGATATCTTGAGACACGTTCAGACAAATTCCTCAAGATGAATTAGACTGAAAGCCCATAAGCACTTATCTCAATAAAATAGATCAAGTGTTTGAACTAAAACTGCAAATCAAAGTACTAACCTGGTAAAATTATTGTAGGTGATATAACAGTACAGAATATTGTCACGAGAAGAAGAAAAAACTTCTCTACAATCTACATCAAACTGACCACACGAAGAAGCAAAAGTCTGTGGAATGTGATGTGGACAAAAGCAGGCTAACATCAGTAGCAGCATTACATCATTCACATATCAGTCTCCCCATAGGGTCACCCTCTTCACAGTCACCCTATAGGGTCACAAACTTCACAGTCTCCCCATAGTGTCACCCTCTTCAGTCTCCCCATAGGGTCACCCTCTTCAGTCTCCCCATAGGATCACCCTCTTCAGTCTCCCCATAGGGTCACCCACTTCACCGTCTCCCCATAGTGTCACCCTCTTCAGTCTCCCCATAGGGTCACCCTCTTCAGTCTCCCCATAGGATCACCCTCTTCAGTCTCCCCATAGGCTCACCCACTTCACCGTCTCCCCATAGGGTCACCCACTTCACGGTCACCCTATAGGGTCACCCACTTCACAGTCTCCCCATAGGGTCACCCACTTCACGGTCACCCTATAGGGTCACCCACTTCACAGTCTCCCCATAGGGTCACCCACTTCACAGTCAACCCATAGGGTCACCCACTTCACAGTCTCCCCATAGGATCACCAACTTCACAGTCTTCCCATAGGATCACCCACTTCACAGTCTCCCCATAGGATCACCCACTTCACAGTCTCCCCATAGGGTCACCCTCTTCACAGTCTTCCCATAGGGTCACCCTCTTCACAGTCTCCCCATAGGGTCACCCTCTTTAGGGTCACCCACTTCACAATCGCCATATAGGGTCACATCTTCACAGTCTCCCCATGATGATGCCTGTAGGCCCATGGGAGTACAGTATAAAAATGGTGACTTCATTTTATCATATACAAAATCTATGTCATAGGGAATGAAATATACAAATGGTGACATTATTCTATAATACATAAAGTCCACATTCCACGCACATAAAAATGTTCTGCTTTAAGGGAGGGTATACATATAGTGCCTGTACTTTATAGGGAGGGTATACATATAGTGCCTGTACTTTATAGGGAGGGTATACATATAGTGCCTGTACTTTATAGGGAGGGTATACATATAGTGCCTGTACTTTATAGGGAGGGTATACATATAGTGCCTGTACTTTATAGGGAGGGTATACATATAGTGCCTGTACTTTATAGGGAGGGTATACTTATAGTGCCTGTACTTTTAGTGCCTGTACTTTATAGGGAGGGTATACATATAGTGCCTGTACTTTATAGGGAGGGTATACATATAGTGCCTGTACTTTATAGGGAGGGTATACATATAGTGCCTGTACTTTATAGGGAGGGTATACATATAGTGCCTGTACTTTATAGGGAGGGTATACATATAGTGCCTGTACTTTATAGGGAGGGTATACATATAGTGCCTGTACTTTACAGCGAGGGTATACATATAGTGCCTGTACTTTATAGGGAGGGTATACATATAGTGCCTGTACTTTATAGGGAGGGTATACATATAGTGCCTGTACTTTATAAGGAGGGTATACATATAGTGCCTGTACTTTATAGGGAGGGTATACACATAGTGCCTGTACTTTATAAGGAGGGTATACATATAGTGCCTGTACTTTATAGGGAGGGTATACACATAGTGCCTGTACTTTATAGGGAGGGTATACATATAGTGCCTGTACTTTATAAGGAGGGTATACATATAGTGCCTGTACTTTATAAGGAGGGTATACATATAGTGCCTGTACTTTATAGGGAGGGTATACATATAGTGCCTGTACTTTATAGGGAGGGTATACATATAGTGCCTGTACTTTATAGGGAGGGTATACATATAGTGCCTGTACTTTATAGGGAGGGTATACATATAGTGCCTGTACTTTATAGGGAGGGTATACATATAGTGCCTGTACTTTACAGCGAGGGTATACATATAGTGCCTGTACTTTACAGCGAGGGTACACATGTAGTGCTTGTACTTTACAGCGAGGGTACACATGTAGTGCTTGTACTTTACAGCGAGGGTATACATAAATACCTGTATTGTATAGGGAGGGTATACATGTAGTTCTTGTACTTCATACACATATCCACCACATAGCTGGAATATTGCTGAGTGCGGCATGAAACTAAACTCACTCACTCATACACATATTGTACCTGTATTTATTTGTTATGTGTAACCAATTTTCACTGACAGTCTTGCCCTGATGTTGTTCTTGGATGTTCCGGCATAATGAGCCACTAGTTCTCACCTGAACATTGTCCACCAGCCCAGCTGAGTTAGTGAGGATGTCGATGAGGTCACACAGCACCCGGCCGTCCTGCACGGCAGACACTCCCTCCACATAGTGCCCCACCTCACTCAGGACAGAATTGGCCCAGTTCAAATATACCTGTCAATCAATCAGAAACAACAATACACTTATGATTAAGTCAACACTTACACTGCAAGCAATACAAACAAAGCCTGTCAGGAATCCTGGTCTGAAGGTTGTAGTGAGAGGGAGAAGAGTACATAAATACCATAGCTCAATTCACTCTCAAGTGGACGTGGGCTTCACCTTGGTACACAAACGTAGGATGGTAAATCCTCACATGTACTAGGTCACCACGCTAGGAGTTATGAGTGTCAGATGTGATGTTTACTGAAACTCTCCAGCAGACGGATACATGTTCAAATGATGCAATGATATCAATTTGTTACAAGACCCCAAAATACCATCAAGAATGCCACTATCTGAAAATAACTCTTTCCTGTGTAGTTTTTGAGTTTTTAATTGGTAATACATTACACTTTTCAACGAATAAGTCAAGTGCTTTTATTTGCTGGCGGAGACACGTTGATATAGGACACTGTTTGGTGTACAAGTTTTAAAAGCAATTTCTTAACTCATAGTACTGAAAACCCAAATATAGTAGCATAAGAGTTATAGCCAACTTGGTGCCAATCTTACACAGTTCTGATAACATGTAGTTACTTCCATTCCAATATGTGATCAGTGTATCTTGATGAAATGGTTCCTTCTGAGACAGGAGGTGAGGAATCCAGTTGGTAAAGCAAGGCAATGTACCTGTGTAATTGTATAACCATGGTACACCAAACACTACTGGGTAGCCCAGCATCACTGACATCCTAACAAAGATACATAGTGGTTAACTAATATCTGAAACAATTGTAATACAGACAGACAGCTACAGACACGTCCCAGACAGTTAACACCTGATTCCTATGGCAAATATTGGCCCAGCAGACAATGCATAGACTAGACACGTCACAGACAGTTAACACCTGATTCCTAGGGTAAACATAGGGCCAGCAGACAATGCATAGACTAGACATGTCACAGACAGTTAACACCTGATTCCTATGGTAAACATTGGCCCAGCAGACAATGCATAGACTAGAGACATCAAAGACAGTTAACGCCTGATTCCTATGGTAAACATAGGGCCAGCAGACAATGCATAGACTAGACATGTCACAGACAGTTAACACCTGATTCCTAGGGTAAACATAGGGCCAGCAGACAATGCATAGACTAGACATGTCCCAGACAGTCAACACCTGATTCCTATGGCAAACATTGGCCCAGCAGACAATGCATAGACTAGACACGTCACAGACAGTTAACACCTGATTCCTAGGGTAAACATAGGGCCAGCAGACAATGCATAGACTAGACATGTCCCAGACAGTCAACACCTGATTCCTAGGGCAAACATTGGCCCAGCAGACAATGCATAGACAAGACACGTTACAGACAGTTAACACCTGATTCCTAGGGTAAACATAGGGCCAGCAGACAATGCATAGACTTGACACGTACCAGACAGTTAACACCTGCTTCCTATGGTAAACATAGGGCCAGCAGACAATGCATAGACTAGACACGTCACAGACAGTTAACACCTGATTCCTAGGGTAAACATAGGGCCAGCAGACAATGCATAGACTAGACACATCACAGACAGTTAACACCTGATTCCTATGGTAAACATAGGGCCAGCAGACAATGCATAGACTAGACACGTCACAGATATTAACACATGATTTCTAGGGTAAACATAGGGCCAGCAGACAATGCACAAACTAGACACGTAACAGACAGTTAACACCTGATTCCTATCGTAAACATTGGCCCAGCAGACAATGCATAGACTAGACACGTCACAGACAGTTAACACCTGATTCCTATAGTAAACATATGGCCAGCAGACAATACTCAGACTTGACACGTACCAGACAGTTAACACCTGATTCCTATGGTAAACATAGTCAGCAGACAATGCATAGACTAGACACGTCACAGACAGTTAACACCTGATTCCTAGGGTAAACATAGGGCCAGCAGACAATGCATAGACTAGACAGGTCACAGACAGTTAACACCTGATTCCTAGGGAAACATAGGGCCAGCAGACAATGCATAGACTAGACACCTCCCAGACAGTTAACTCCTGATTCATAGGATAAACATAAGGCCAGCAGACAATGCATAGACTAGACACATCACAGACAGTTAACACCTGATTCCTATGGTAAACATAGGGCCAGCAGACAATGCATAGACTTGACACGTCACAGACAGTTAACACCTGATTCCTATGGTAAACATTGGCCCAGCAGACAATGCATAGACTAGACATGTCACAGACAGTTAACACCTGATTCCTAGGGTAAACATAGGGCCAGCAGACAATGCATAGACTAGACACATCACAGACAGTTAACACCTGATTCCTATGGTAAACATAGGGCCAGCAGACAATGCATAGACTTGACACGTCACAGACAGTTAACACCTGATTCCTAGGGTAAACGTAGGGCCAGCAGACAATGCATAGACTAGACACCTCACAGACAGTTAACACCTGATTCCTAGGGTAAACATAGGGCCAGCAGACAATGCATAGACTGACAGGTAAAACCTGGTATAGCCACATTGACAGCAGGACATCTACACTACACACAGAAGACTGAGTGGGTGAGTGGATATAGGTTCACGCCAAATCAGCAGTGGCGATGGGTGGAAGCTGTACGTTTTCCCCCAGGGAGGTGCTGACTGCTGCAGATCTGTGAAGCCAGGGCTAGGTAGCAATAACAAGGGGCATGTAGTCTACTTAACTATATCGGCTCACAGGAGAACAATACCATAACATATTCATCTAATTTCATTGAAATAATTATCAGAGGCAATTATACCATGACTACAGTCTTAATTCTGATAAATCAAACAAGGGTTTATGTGATATAGCCTCTGATATCATTTTGATCTCTTCAGTGAACCTAGACAATTTTAAGTATATTTCAATTTTACAGTAGATTTTTAGAAATAGGATGCTTTACGTTAGGCACAGTTGGGCACATGAGGTTTTCCCCAAGAATATATCCTCAACAACCCCCCAGTTTACAGATTCTCAGTCAGCATCCTTGTAACTCCACATGGTGAACAGTTTGTTAAACGCCTTATCTCTTATGTCTGTCCTAGAGCACCCCCACATTAATTCTTATCTCTTATCCTGTGTTAAGTGTCATTGGAGATGGTGACCTGTGAGTTACAACACTATAAACATCAAGGCAAGGGACATGAAACATGCTCTAAATCAACATCTTCAATACCAACTTCAATTAGGATTGAAACATGACTGCATTAACACAACAATAGAGGATGATCACCTCACTGCGGTCTGATATCACTGAGGATTTTGTTGACTTTGTCAGAGCCAGGGTAGAGCTCCAAAGGATATAGGCTGTCAATAAAATTGGTAGTCTCAAGCTGACAATAGTGCTTTGTTATCTCCTAGGTAAGGATCAGTGCCTGCAGAGTGGCTTTCTCTCTGCACTTGATTCCCACAATCCCTCACAGTGTGGATCTGTGTGGAGCAAATAACTCCATAACTTTCTTTGGCTGAGAGATTTGTCACTAATTAATTATGCGCATCCAATCCTATAGATAACACTGAATAAGAACCCAGTTAATTAGCCAAGTGTATAGAACTTAGCATAAGGTAGAACAAAACAAGATTTTCTTGCCCACAATCAACACTGTACAGTTATTTACCTGCCCACAATCAACACTGTACAGTTATTTACCTGCCCACAATCAACACTATACAGTTATTTACCTGCCCACAATCAACACTGTACAGTTATTTACCTGCCTACAATCAACAAAAACTAGAGCGTCTGGCTTCCACCTGCCCCGTGGTTCACATAAATAACTAGCAATCAATGCCAACACTAGCCTATGTATGTTCACTTAGAATCAGGAAGAAACTAGAGTGTTTGGCTTCCACCTGCCCCGTGGTTCACATAAATAACTAGCAATCAAACCCAACACTAGCCTATGTATGTTCACTTAGAATTGGGAAGAAACTAGAGTGTCTGACTTCCACCTGCCCCGTGGTTCACATAAATAACTAGCAATCAATGCCAACACTAGCCTATGTATGTTCACTTAGAATCGGAAAGAAACTAGAATGTCTGGCTTCCACCTGCCCCGTGGTTCACATAAATAACTAGCAATCAAAGCCAACACTAGCCTATGTATGTTCACTTAGAATTGGGAAGAAACTAGAGTGTCTGACTTCCACCTGCCCCGTGGTTCACATAAATAACTAGTAATCAAAACCATCACTAGCCTATGTATGTTCACTTAGAATCGGGAAGAAACTAGAGTGTCTGACTTCCACCTGCCCCGTGGTTCACATAAATAACTAGCAATCAAAGCCAACACTAGCCTATGTATGTTCACTTACAATCGCGAAGAAACTAGAGCGTCTGGCTTCCCCTTGCCCCGTGGTTCACATAAATAACTAGCAATCAATGCCAACACTAGCCTATGTATGTTCACTTAGAATCAGGAAGAAACTAGAGTGTTTGGCTTCCACCTGCCCCGTGGTTCACATAAATAACTAGCAATCAAAGCCAACACTAGCCTATGTATGTTCACTTAGAATTGGGAAGAAACTAGAGAGTGCCTGGCTTCCACCTGCCCCGTGGTTCACATAAATAACTAGCAATCAAAGCCAACACTAGCCTATGTATGTTCACTTAGAATGGGAAGAAACTAGAGTTCTGACTTCCACCTGCCCGTGGTTCACATAAATAACTAGCAATCAAAGCCAACACTAGCCTATGTATGTTCACTTAGAATTGGGAAGAAACTAGAGCGTCTGACTTCCACCTGCCCCGTGGTTCACATAAATAACTAGCAATCAAAGCCAACACTAGCCTATGTATGTTCACTTAGAATTGGGAAGAAACTAGAGTGTCTGACTTCCACCTGCCCCTGGTTCACATAAATAACTAGCAATCAAAGCCAACACTAGCCTATGTATGTTCACTTAGAATTGGGAAGAAACTAGAGTGTCTGGCTTCCACCTGCCCCGTGGTTCACATAAATAACTAGCAATCAAAGCCAACACTAGCCTATGTATGTTCACTTAGAATTGGGAAGAAACTAGAGTGTCTGGCTTCCACCTGCCCCGTGGTTCACATAAATAACTAGCAATCAAAGCCAACACTAGCCTATGTATGTTCACTTAGAATTGGGAAGAAACTAGAGTGTCTGACTTCCACCTGCCCCGTGGTTCACATAAATAACTAGCAATCAAAGCCAACACTAGCCTATGTATGTTCACTTAGAATTGGGAAGAAACTAGAGTGTCTGGCTTCCACCTGCCTATGTGGTTCACATAAATAACTAGCAATCAATGCCAACACTAGCCTATGTATGTTCACTTAGAATTGGGAAGAAACTAGAGTGTCTGACTTCCACCTGCCCCGTGGTTCACATAAATAACTAGTAATCAAACCCATCACTAGCCTATGTATGTTCACTTAGAATTGGGAAGAAACTAGAGTGTCTGACTTCCACCTGCCCCGTGGTTCACATAAATAACTAGCAATCAAAGCCAACACTAGCCTATGTATGTTCACTTAGAATCAGGAAGAAACTAGAGTGTCTGACTTCCACCTGCCCCCTGGTTCACATAAATAACTAGCAATCAAAGCCAACACTAGCCTATGTATGTTCACTTAGAATCAGGAAGAAACTAGAGTGTCTGACTTCCACCTGCCCCCTGGTTCACATAAATAACTAGCAATCAAAGCCAACACTAGCCTATGTATGTTCACTTAGAATCAGGAAGAAACTAGAGTGTCTGGCTTCCACCTGCCCCGTGGTTCACATAAATAACTAGCAATCAAAGCCAACACTAGCCTATGTATGTTCACTTAGAATCAGGAAGAAACTAGAGAGTCTGGCTTCCACCTGCCCCGTGGTTCACATAAATAACTAGCAATCAAAGCCAACACTAGCCTATGTATGTTCACTTAGAATCAGGAAGAAACTAGAGAGTCTGGCTTCCACCTGCCCAGTGGTTCACATAAATAACTAGCAATCAAAGCCAACACTAGCCTATGTATGTTCACTTAGAATCAGGAAGAAACTAGAGCGTCTGACTTCCACCTGCCCCGTGGTTCACATAAATAACTAGCAATCAAAGCCAACACTACCCTATGTATGTTCACTTAGAATTGGGAAGAAACTAGAATGTCTGGCTTCCACCTGCCCCGTGGTTCACACATCCCAGTGTGGAGTACTGCAGTTATTCATAGCATGTTTCTGTGTCAAGAAATCATTTCAACCTGAGTCTGAAAGCATGAAGCTATTAGTTTGAGCTGTACTGAATATCTGTTAGTGACACAGGGCTAATAGAGTTAAACACAGGGATGTCGCTACAGTTTGGGAGGAAATCCATTTGCTGCTGACAAGAAAATGACATCTTTCCATTAAAGAGGAAGATAATACCTAGCAATGTACCCAGCGGGTTGAACAATGTTTTGACAGACTTTATTTTAAAATAAATAGACACAAAATACATGCAGTAAGAATTAATCAAGAGATCATATAGCGTTGTTTTCACACATATTGATACAGATGTAATCTACAATCCATCGTTAACAGACAATATTTCATCTACACAGCATCTATCTGGAGCACAGCCAGAGAACCAACAACATGTAATAAATATGACAAGCTAAAGGAAAAATAGACATCAGAAGTCAGCATTTACAATTCAAAAGTATTTCAGTTCATGTCATTACCACATAACATGCCCTACAAAAAGATTGTTCATAAACCCACATCACATGGAGTATCGACTTTTCAAACATGTTTAAGACCAAATACTCTCACTGTGTAGCACAAACTGGAAGAGCAGAATCATTATGAATATGATCATAACTTATACTTATAGACACCACCAAATGAATACATTAATTGCCAACATTCTGTAACAGTGTTAATTTTAAACAATCTGCATCTTGACAAACAATGTTGAACAACTCTATGTGATATAAACTATTATTCACCCATTAGATTGGAGTAAAACATTATCACTGAATTGAAATTGTTTCAGATTTAGCAAGTTTAAACATAAAAAGTGGACATCAGAGATATAAAAATCTGAAGTATTAAGAAACTTGTGCATAAATGAAGAAACAATAGCTGTGTGACTGTTAATCTGTGACATGCAAACATTGTGAAACGTTGGACATGAAACTGACATCTGGAAGTGACAAGGCAAAAGCTGTTGTGTCAAACTAAGAAAAAACAATTTCAAAAATGTCAATTCTACCTCCTTCTTTGTCATGATGGTGTCTATCAGCTCCTATTGTTTGGTGGCTTCCTTGAAAACAACCATGGTTTAGGGGGTTATTATGCATTGGTAAACTCAAAGGGGAAAGGACTGCAAAACTAATCTCACAGAAAAACCTACGTCACAAGTATGAGAAACAGTTTCAGTTTTCAACATCCTCAAATAAAGCAAGTACACGTGCAAGGGGAATTATACAGTACATTATGAACATAAACATACTTCAATTAATGTCATGTCACTATTACACCACAAACCTTTAGCCAATGGTAGATTTCATAAATATATCTGGAAAATAGTTTACACATTGATCAGGCCCAGTAACAGCAAAATAGTTAGGAAGCATCATGGGAAATTAATTCTGATTAACTGTTAAGAACAAGCACGGAATGTGATAGTGTTTATTACATAGACAGGTGACAACCAGAGGATGTAGACTGTGATCAGTAAAAACAATCACCAGGAGACGGGAAGGACAATACACAAGCACCAGACATGGAATACCTTGATGGTGTTCATGTTCTTATAACATAGATGGAGCGGAGGGCGTTGCTAGGTGTCAATTTCATCTTGTCATTTTCCCCACCTGTCAGCAGACATGTGTCAAATCAGCTGATCAGCCAAATAGCATGGCAGGCTCTATCATAAACAGACTCTTCATGTGTGTAAAACTTTCCATTATCACTCAAACAAGTGTGCAATTGGATCATTCTGACAACAATGTCCCCCCAATTAAAGCTATCGGTGACTGAGCGGTCTAAGCATGAAGGGATTAAATCACCGCCTAGGTCACCTTTCTCTAATTACTGCAACAAACGTCTTGCGAGACGCGTTTCTAGCCGTAAGCGTCCCTAGTTACCGGTTAAATTCTACGTTTAACTGGGCTTCCCCGATAAAAACCAATACCCCAATATTATCATTGTTCCGCCAGATTAAAGTTGAAGTACCGATAACGGCCATGGGCGTTATAGAATAGTGCGGACAGCACGACTAGCAGTGGGTTCTCCATACAAACGAATACTTCGAAATCTGCCTTGCAAAGGAAACGAAACGACCCGTTTCCATTCTCAATAAATTAGTCAATATCCCGTTTTCTCTACATTGGAATAATTAAGTCTTGTAAATAGATTTATTGCAGTCTTATGTGTTGAGACATTAAGCTTATCACGCACGCTATCAGGGGACCATTTACCCAGCCTTTCTTCGCTGTATAGTATCTGGTTGACAGGCCCAAGCTTGCAAGTCCAGGCTAAATTGAACCCGACACCACGTCAGTCCAGTCTTGTAATCTGTCAAATCACAGTTTTCATGAAACAAACTCAGAAATGCAAAATTACCTTCAGAATTGACATCCCGAACAAGCTCCGTGCCTGATGAGGATTCTGCCAGGTAAAATCACATGATGACAATTGCGAAGTGCTCTGAAAGAAATTGAACGCCGGCGGGCTTCTCTCGTCTCACAACAACACCCAAACAAAAGCTGCGTATAAAAGTGGGAATGCGACTGCCTGCAACGAACAGGGATTATCGACTAGACGAAACAACGGATCGTAGACGCTTGACACTAAGCAATGTGTTGGAAAGGTGGCCTATACAAATTGTGCAGATAAAGTATTAAGAAGCATATCAATTTAATTATACGTTTTATTATTTTGTATACATGTATTTCAATAGGAACTATGCCTATTGTCTGAATTGAAATTTACATTTAACGTCTTTTGTCCTGTTAATCGCGCGCAAAATGTATGTATGGTCGTTCATTGATCGGCGACGTAGAGCTATAAAATATCAATAAAGATACTGCTCTCGCCTGATTGATTTGGACCGCCATTTCACGGTTGATTTCCTGCCATGTGTAGTAAAGGTTCTACACCAACTATAACAACAACAAGTCACCTCAGTCACATCCGTGTACGAAACACGCATTATGTCGGAAAGCGCACGTTAAATCTCCAAACCATCATCATCATCATCAGTAAAAAGCAGTAAGTAGGAGTGAGTGGGTTTAGTTTTATGCCGCACTCAGCAATATTCCAGCTATATGGCGGCGGTCTGTAAATAATCGAGTCTGGACCAGACAATCCAGTGAGCAACAGCATGAGCATCGTTCTGCGCAATTGGGAACCGATGGCACGTGTCAATCAAGTCAGCAAGCCTGACTACCCGATCCCGTTAGTCGCCTCTTACAACAAGCATGGGTTACTGAAGATCAATCATCTAACCCGGACCTTCACGGGTGCAGTAAGTAGGGGGATTGCTTGATATGTTAAGAGTCTCAAGTATAGGTGGAACCGGTGACAGTGAAACTTTATGTTGAGTACATTATATGATGTCATGGATGTATATAAAAGTTAGTCATCTCACCAGATTGTTTCCCAGTGACAAGTCAGTAAAACGAGAGGGTTCGGTATCACAAGGGTTTCCGTACACAGCGTCAGGTCCCCGAGCCCCCAATACAGAACACCACCGGTACATCATCTCTCGCAGGAATTAAGAGTGGTTATAATCACATGAGCATCGCTAAGGAATGTCAGTATCTTGATAAAGGCTAGTGAATACCAGTGCGCTTCGTGATCTCCGTAAACTAAGATGTATAAAAGAGTTCAGTTAGAACCATTAAACGACATATAAACTACCATATACATCATGCGTAGATTGTGCTCGAGATATCCGAGAATCCCGTATTGCAGAATGACCTCTGTGCAACAACAGCCAGGGAGATGTCTTCATGACGTCAGTCAGTTGGGGACCGGAAAGAAAATCACAGGAAAAAAAGTCACGGAAATAAGTCACAATTCTGGTTGGGAAAAAAAGTCAAAGGAAAGAAAGTTGCAATAACCAATTTTATTAAATTCAATAAGCTATCTTAATATCTTCATGATCATAAATCATGCATTCATGATAAATTAAATAATAACTAAATTAAATGATACATTTAAGAACTCAGTTATTTAATTAGATAATGGAAATTGATATAGTCCTAAGGTAACTACTATATCAACAACGGATAATCAAAGTAATATACTAAGTAATGGATTTTAATAAGAAACAGTTAAAAAGCGTTGGGTTTTTTTGGGTGCAATTTTACAACTAATATATATCATTGTATTGTGATTTTTTAATTTTTTTTTTTTATCCCAGGAGAGTGCCAATTGATTTACATACGCTCCACCCATGCTGGTTTAATGGTTCCACCCACGTGGGCATCCCATCGTCTATATAGACGCGTTCCTTGAAGTGGGTTATGGCCCGGGAAAGCGAAATCTGGACCAAACCTCCTCAATTTTGGTTTCGCTTTCGCGGGAACGGTCAAGCTACAGTGAACACTGAATTTAGCGTTCTCGGGACTCTCAACACACAAGAAAAACAAAGAAATGTGAGTCGTCGTCTCATACCGTAGTCATGGTAGAAATTTAATAAATAAATAAATACGTTTAACATTAGCGAGCCATGGTGAAGCATGCATATTATTTTCTAGCATTTGTGATAAAACATTGTGAATTATAACTGACATTTTATTTTGATGTACATTAGTAGCAAGTTTAAACCAAACTGAAATTATTCACTTTTTAATATATACAGAGATGGGAATTCGTCCAGTCCCTCGGTGCAGCATTTAGGATGGTGTGTGTACTCTTGCGTAGTTTCAGGACAGATTTCATGAATAGCCTGTGAACATTTTCCTGTGTCCATCCTCGATAATCTCCAGGGTATATATACGTTACGATAACTCTCCACTATATAGTGGTGGTTTATCGTAACTTATTCCCTGGAGTTATCGAGGATGTGAAGTGTCCGACCCCTGAGTTAAATCACTGCGGTTGCCACAGGTGTAGACTGTTCCCAGGTAGAGATATCCTTCACTCAAAATATACAGTGTTGCTTGTTTCGTTTGTGCTTTGTTTCTCGTTGCAATCAGCAATATAAAAGATATTGCGACCTAGGAACAATCGAGTGTTGACCCCACAATACATGTTGTGCTTAATAGGGCTGTGCAATATTACCGGTAAACCGGTATATACCGGTACAGTATCTCGCGATACGATTATCGCAATATGGTTCAGATTCTGCAATATATTGGGTCATCCAGAGTTATCTCCATTTGAATTATCTGCCCTTGATTTCCATAGGAAACAAATGTGCTCTAATGGTGCCAAATAAACTTTGATATCTGTTGGTTTCATGTAACATTTTGCAAGTGGAAGTGTCATTATAAGTGGCTCAAAAATTGCCAAATATTCTACCAAATATATAAGTTACGTTTTGTGGGTTTGAATGGTTTCATTTGGAGGAATTAAGTGGCCTCAAATGGACCAATTTTTATTTGGACTTATTAGGAGAGCCCCTGGCTCTGAGTGACCATTTCACAGTTCACAGGATTTTGTTATTTTTGTTTGTTTCATAATGGGGCAGATGATATCAATTTATCATACAGGCCTGAGTCTTAGAAAAATTGTAGGACTGTATAATGACATTCCAGTCAAGAATCTTAGCTATTGGAGGTCACATGAGATTTTAATCTCAAGTAGTTCAACTAAATCTTGTTTTTGTTTCATTTGGCAATAGTTCATGTTAACACATTGAATCTGAATGAATCACATACAGTAACAATAATTACATACTGCACTGAAGTGCATTCTGTTTAAGCAAACAACACTGACTATGAAAATCATGTTATACTATTACCTTTATCATTATGTTCGCAAAACGTTGGTGCAATATATTCCACATTAAGGCTCTATATTATTTTATTTATCTGTAAACCATTGCCATACAGCCATACACAACGCGGTCGGGGAGCCTGAAAGTATGGTGTAACAGCAACTGAGAAGATGATGTCGCACACAGAGAGCTATTATGAATTTATGATGTACACACCTGACCCATGGAGTAGCCCCTTACGACCATCATGTTATTGGATGACTATTCGAAACTGGAATCTCCTCAAGTAGGATTATGGTGAATTATCTCTGTTTTATGGTTCTGCGAATGACACTTGGCTCTTGAAAGTGCATTCATTAATTTTGATAGCCAATGAATCTTGCCTCCATTCCCTCGTCGTCATGGTAACGATAGCTTCCTGGACAGGCGCGTAAGTAAGCCATTTTTTTCGTGTAAGCCCGATGGGTTGCAAAGCTTTATATTTAGATAGTATTGAAGGTTTGTCCAACTTTCATTTTCAAAATCATGTGTAAGCCCGGGCTTTTAACCATAATGGTAGCTACGCCGCTGCTGGGAGAGCGCCTGGAGGATGCTATATTGTTTTCAATGTTTCATTTAGGAACACTAAAACTGGTCTACTATGAAGAATCCATGTAAACCACGAAGGATTTCAGTCAACGTAAAACACAGCTTTTACGAGGGAATTGAATAAAGTGTCGTTCAGGTTCCTTCTACATATGCACACGATAGCCCCACCCCTAGCTATCCACCAACACCAAACCCGACTCTACCAGTTACACCGCTTGTCTTACGCCAGACCACAATCTACTGAATCGGGAGTAAAATCAGCATATTTGACCCCAGAGAACAGCATGAATAGGTGGAGTATTGCCAGCGACATGCCCAGTCTGTGAAGACGACGTTTGGACAGTTGACTTGATTCTCAGTAACACAGACAACTAGCTGTGGTTCAATCTCATGTTGCCAGCGATATTAGAGAGGTTGGACATGCATTACATTTTGCAGGTTTTCTTGAAGAATATTTTTGCAGTAAATGCAAGGTAATGCACGTACTTATATGATGTGAATCCCACTATATCGACACGTGTTCGGACTTGTGTACCCGTATGTTACTTTGTAATTATGAAAGTATAATTACTAAAAGAGATATTATTCAGTCCTTTTAAATTACTAATAATCTGCATGTATTCAGTTATGCTGAACATGAGGTACATTCCACCCTGGACACCAGGCACACCCAGCACACTTGTTCGTTGCGTAACCCGTGAAGGTCCGCGTTAGACTTGATCTTCAGTAACCCATGCTTGTCGTGTAAGAGGCGACTAACGGGATCGGGTGGTCAGGCTCGCTGACTTGGTTGACACATGTAATCGTATCCCAATTGCGTAGGTCGATATTCATGCTGTTGATCACTGGATTGTCTGGTCCAGACTCGATTATTTACAGACCGCCGCCATATAGCTGGAATATTGCTGAGTGCGGCGTAAAACTAAACTCACTCACTCACGAAGAGTGCAACTATCCCCAATGGCCCATCACGTACAGTGATGATGCCGTGCAGCAGCCGTATTACCAAAAGGAAGGGGAGGACGGAGTTGCTGAGGACAAGGGGATGGGTGCTATGTATAGACCACGTTTCAATAACGAATTTTACCCCCAGAAATCATCTCCCAAGACACCAGTGGCCAATCATGTTGAAACTTCCAATGCTTGCTCCCACAAATGATTTTTCAAGAGTGTCGAATCTCATTTTTAATATGACCGCCTCGATCAGATTGTGACATTTGTTTAGTTTCAACATGAA